CACATAAGAATGCTGCTTTAGACTTGTCGTATATTAGGTGACATTGTTGAATGCTAATGTATGTGACAGAAGCTCCCATGCCATGGCCTTTTGGAGAAGCTGAACAGTCAGCAGACTACAGACCTGGTCTCAGGACTCCCTAAAAAAGGTGTGTGACAGCAGCACTCAATGGAGAAGTTATTTATTGTTACTTGAGAACTCTGCCGCACCTTCTGCTGACTGTCTAGAAGTGTGTTCATTTGCATAACACTTGTATGCAAATGAGGGCAACCAAATAAGTAGTTTAATGCATATATTATTGCTTTTTATTGTGTTTGAAAATGTTATTTGTATTATATGGTTCATGTATTAATTTTAATTGCTTAATTGCTATATGTTCTTTATAATTGTATTTGTATTATAGTTGTCACAGCAATCTAAATGTTATGAGCATATGGGCTAGTCCCAAGTAAAATAAAGTATTGTATATCAGTTACTTTTGGAACTTGTGTCCTGTGTGGATTTTTAGGGGTCCCAGTAACAGAGTCTTTGGACATGTTGGCTGGCAGTATGACCCCTGTAGCCCTGGGATTAATCAAAAGAGCTGGGCCTGAAAACTGCAAGTGCCTTTGTAAAAAAAGTAGAAATCACATTGCAGGCAGAGGTGGACACCTGCATGGAAGGATAGCTGCAGCCTGGTCAGGTGGAAAAGCTCCATAGGGGTCTGGGGTCTGAAGCGTTCCAGAATCCCAGCAAGCGGCTAGGAAGCAGGCTGTGGGGAAGGTACTCAGTCAGAGTACAAGAGCGCTGTCACAATGTATAAGGCATGTTACTTATTAAAGGAACAGGGTATAATTCCATTTTCCCTGCTGTAAGTTATCTATGTTTGTTATTGAATGTCCTAAAAAATGGATACACCCATAACCCACTGAGCACTTCATGTTTCACTATGTATCAGCACGTGCATGAAAACTTATTGCAATGCATCCAGAGAAGCCCTAATTTGTTTCACGTGTACGTTGAGCTTTGTCAAAATTTGGTAAAATACATACCTCTTCATTGATACCATTTTCCATAAGCCGCACTTGCTACAGCAGCTAAAATAGGTATCTTCTCACGTGATATTTTGTAAATGTATGTTATTTCATTACATGTGTAAGAAAATTATTAGTTGTGCCTAATATTTCCTTATCCCCTACTTTGTACTATATACAAATATATTCGGGGCCAATACAAACCATTGTGTGTAAATCTATTCACAAAACAGACTTTACATAGGACACAAGGTCATGCGTTTAGACTGGAAGAAAGAAGATTTCGTCTAAGGCAAAGGAAAGGTTTTTTTACCGTAAGAACAATAAGGATGTGGAATTCTCTGGCTGAAGAAGTGGTTTTATCAGAGTCCATACAGATGTTCAAACAGTAACTAGATGCATACTTGCAAAAACAGAATATTCAAGGATATCATTTTTCAATGTAAGGTAATAGCTGCTTGATCCGAGGATAAATCTGACTGCCATTCTGGGGTCAAGAAGGAATTTTTTTAATAGTTTGTTGCAAAATTGGAAGTGCTTCAAAATGGGTCTTTTTGCCTTCTTTTGGATCAACAGCACAAAAAAATGTGAGGAAGGCTGAACTTGATGGACGCAGGTCTCTTTTCAGCTATGTAACTATGTACTCTCATTCATGAGTGAGCATAAAAATATGGGGCTCATGGCAGAGGTTATGCAAAGAATGGAGCCATCAAAGGGGGATAACTTCAAAAATATAAAGAGAAGAAAGGATTGGGTAAAGTGCAGTGATATCTAGGTGCAGGCAAGCCACTGTAGAAGGTCACTCAAACCTTAATCATACAATATAAAACCAAGAAAATACAGGGCGCCATATTCACCAGATGAATAAATGAGGATGAAAAAAAGGATGAAAAAAAAAAAGGATATGGATAATACAGTTTATTGAAAAGAACTTCATAATATGTAAAATGCACCAACACTGTGCAAATAATTAAAAAAGATATATATACATAAAAAGCCTTAATAGGCAAAAAGACCCATAAGTACAGCAGCTCTAAATAACATGAAAAAGTGCTAAATGCTAAAGTGCAGACAATGAAGTAAAGTGACAGAGTGCAACTCACATCACTATAAAGGTGATATACACTAATAATGTCCACAACCAATCACATAAGCAAAAGTCATGTAAAGCAGAAACTGCTGATACCAAAGCAGGAGGGTCTCAGTGCTGCTCAACGCGTTTCGTCCTTCAGACTTCGCCACTTAGCTGGAGGAAGTCCCATGTTACGTCTGGCTTCCCGCGCAATAAATTCATGCTGAACATTTACAGCTTAGAATTCTCCTTTGCCAAACACTATGACTTTAATTCCTTAATTACCACCTTCTCTCATAATCCAAGATGTCTTTTCCAAATATTGAACACATTAGTTCACCCTATTGCTGATCCCTCTGCCCCTCCCGACTTTGCATTCATTGGTTACTAAAAAGATTTCCAATTTATTTATTTTGTTAAATTATGACAGGGAATATAAAAAAAGAAAATCACCATTCCAAATGCTTAACCTATACTGCACCCTTTATCTAATTCTATGTTAAGCTCTGTTTCACCAAATACTCTTCTTCAGACGTGCTACCCTACCACGTGGACCACTTTTGAACCATCTCCCACCAAATTCTTCATATCTCTTTTTTCTGTTCTAGTCTGTTTCCCATCCATGATACTATCTCTCCCATTTTAAAAAGCCAACACTCAATGCAAATTTCACATCCAACTACAATACTATCTCCGTACTACCAACTGCAAGTGATAGTCTTAGTGATTAAGGCAACATGCCAAGCACCATAACCACAACAGCATGTTATGCCTTGGCCAGTTCACATTGTAAATAGTTTAACCAAGTGAGCAGGGCCTGACTGACCCTAGGTAACAAGTCAAGCTGTTCTAAAATGGTTTGACTGGTTACAATGGGGAGTGCCAAGGCACTCTGATACCATAACTACCACAGCACACCATAGAGATTATGGTGTTTGGAGTATTAAGTTAAAGGACCACTCTAGGCACCCAGACCACTTCAGCTTAATGAAGTGGTCTGGGTGCCTGGTCCAGCTAGGGTTAACCCATTTTTTTTTTATAAACATAGCAGTTTCATAGAAACTGCTATGTTTATGAATGGGTTAAGCCTTCCCCCATTCCTTCTAGCGGCTGTCTCACTGACAGCCGCTAGAGGCGCTTGCGTGCTTCTCACTGTGATTTTCACAGTGAGAGCATGCCAGCGTCCATAGGAAAGCATCGATAATGCTTTCTTATGTGACCGGCTGAATGCGCGCGTGTGCATTCAGCTGACAGGGAGGAGAGAAGGAGGATCGAAGGAGGAGAGCTCCCCGCCCAGCGCTGGAAAAAGGTAAGTTTTAATCCCTTTCCCCCTTCCAGAGCCGGGCGGAAGGGGGATCCTGAGGGAGGGGGCACCCTCAGGGCACTATAGTGCCAGGAAAACGAGTATGTTTTCCTGGCACTATAGTGGTCCTTTAATGTAAGGATGGATCACTTCCCCAGGTCCATCTAGCAATTAGAATTATCATCAGTGGGATCTTTCAGTCCTGTGGATTGTTTCAAAATCTTTTTACTATTCTCTTGAAATAGTACACAGGACTGAAGACTAGGGATGTGCATGAGCAAAAAATTTGGTTCGGAATTTCAGGTAAGTAAAGTAGTCTGCTTTGGCAATTCGGACCAATGGTATTCGGTTCTGTTCGGCACTTCGGTAATTAGGTCCCTAACCCCTAACCTTAACTCTAACCACTTGTTTAGTTTTTTCCGAAATCCAAAGCACTTCAGCATTTCTGAACTTCGGACATTCATAAGTATCCGAATGTCCGAATGTACATTCGGAACGAAACGAATTGCACATGTATACTGAAGACTTTGGATGTGACTCAATGATATTGTCACTTTCTCAGGCAAATTTACCGGATCTGGATCCATCAGTGAACCCTGAAATATTGCCATCCTGTAAAAATTTATTTATTCTTGGGATGGGGGGTGGGAGGGAGAGGGGCACTGCAGGATCCTGCAGTGCCAGGAAAACGGATATGTTTTGCCTGCCACTGGAGAGTCCCTTTAAATATTACACTACAATATATTTTTTCTACGTTGTATATTTGTATAGCTATTTCCATAATATAAACGAAGAAATACATATTGGTAGTCTATGAATGTTTCACACATATCAGATACACAATTGATGGATTTAGATAACCACCCATTGATATAGCTGTATTACATCCATAGTGTTGTACCACTCATATTTGCAATTCAGTTATGACATTTAGCTCTTAATAATCTTGCGGTTATAGGGAAACATGACTACAATAATAGTACAATGGTGGGTTTTGTAAAGTTACATCAGTCTAATTTGAAAACTTCAAATTTAATTTGATTACGGGATAGAGCTACACAGCTGGAGAAGCACTCGGACTTTACATGTAAAACAAGAATTTAGATAGAGTTTTATGACCGGCTTTGTTAAGCAGTAATTGCATACGTTTCTTTCAAAGAAAACAGAGTGACTCATAAAAGCTTGAAACTATGGTGGGTTTTAGATACAAACATCTCAAAGCAAATAAAGGATTATTTTACAAAGAGTAACCAACATGTACTTTCAGTGTTAAGATTTTAGGTTTTAGATCTACATAAACCAAGAGCAATCATATAAGCTGTAGCAATATATCTCCCATTGTCCAAATAAAAATTACATTTCCATTCACTGGACAGCACCCTGCGGCTAGTGAGGGAGATCTTCAATTACCTTTAATTGGTAAATGCTCTTTGCTGGGATAATGTTAACAAGGTTTTTGTTCAAGAGTGTTTACACATTATAGATTCTAAAATCTATACAAAAGGTGGATTAAACTGCTCCATTGTCAATTCATTTTTTGACAAGTGGCAGCTTTGCTTTAAATGTTTCAGAAATTATATAAAAAGGTTCACATTCGTCTTTTTTTCACTGCCAGCTAACCAGATTTTTATGTCCGAGCAACAAATGGTAAGAATGATTAGCTTAGGATACCCTCTCCTTATGTCTTTGTCTATACTTTCCCAAGGCTTCCTATTTTCAGTCTCTAAGTCTATTAGAAAGGCGGAGAACGAGGACATGTTACTCGATAAGATCACACTAAGAAAAGCTTACCAGACTGGAGATGCTTCGGAAAAAGTAATGGGATCTCCTTTAGAGAGTTACAAGATGGACAGTGGCAACGTTTTAAATGAGGAAGAAAGAAGCTTAAAGGTAAAATTAAGTTTGTAAAACCAAAAATGTAAATATTTTGGGGATGTTTAATTTTCCTGAGATGGTATGTCATCGAGATTACATTAAATACAATAGAGAAGTAATGTGCTTGTTAAAGTGAAAAATTCTTTAAAGGGACACTATCGGCACCCAGACCACTTTGTCACATTGAAGTAGTTTGGGTGCAGTGTGCCTGACCCCTTAACCCTTCAATTTAAAACATTGCAGTGTTAAGAAAACCTCTAGTGGCTGTCTACCAGACAGCCACTAGAGGCACTTCCAGCAGCTTCACAAAGTTTGACTCTGTGAAATGATGCTGGACGTCCTCACAGTGTGCACGAGGACGTCCAGAATATAGAAAATCCCCATAGACAGGTCTAATGCATTAGGTCCCCTTATCAGTTTATGTCAGCACCAAGGGACATGACCACTGGAATCGGGTAAGTGTAAAAAGTGTTATTTTTTTAAAACCTTTTATTTGCCACAGGGAGGCCAAAGGGCACTACAGTGTTACTTTAAGCATGTTTGGGGAAGCTTTTTACATATTGATTTTATTTTTATTTTTAAATCTATGTTACGATTGTGGGTTGTTTCTAATAGTGCAAACCATGAAACTGTTCGATAGAGAAATAATTTTGCTGTAACTACAAACATTTCACATACTAAGATGCAATTGATGTGTTTATTAGTAAACCGATGTATTACTCACATGTAGTTTTTTTTATATGCAAACAGCCAATTTAAAAAATAATCTACAACTAAAGTAGTTTCAATTTTGGATATTTCGACCCAAAATTTAAAATACAATAAAATTCATATATCAGTGAATATTCTGCAAATTTGGTTGGAGTTTTAATGGATATATCAAACTATGAACAAGTCCTAACTTTAAAATGAATCTTTATCTTGCAGAGTATGGGTACCCAAAATAATTTCTTTAATCGTGATGGCCTTCCACTTAGTATTGGAATAAAACAGCTTCCCTACCTCGCGCTTAAGAATTCTGTACATCCCCCAGAGGCAGAAGATCAGAGCATTGAATTAGCACAGGAAAGGAGAGACATTGGAGAGGATGAAAATGCAGCCAAATTTCCTGTAGGGCGAAGAGATTTTGATAGTAAGTATTTCACCCCAATCCCATTTTTTATTATTATTTTTTTTTTTTTATCATAAATGTATTTTACTTTGTAATGCAATGTTGGGCACTTTGTTAAAAACCTGTAAATTAGGGGTGCCCTCCAGATGTTTTGTACTACATCTCCCTTGATGCTTTGCCAAGTAGTCCAAAACATCTGGAGGGCCAAAGGTTCCCCACCCCTGCTGTAAATAAACAAGCTTACCTTATTAAGTTATAATTTATATAGCGCCAACAAATTCCGCAGCGCTTTACAATGGGTGGACAAACAGACATGTAGTTGTAACCAGACAAGTTGGACACACAGTAACAGAGGGGTTGAGGGACCTGCTCAATGAGCTTACATGCTAGACGGATTGGGGGAAAATGACACAGAAAGGTAAGGATAGTATTAGACTAATGACAGTTGCAGAAGAGGAATCAATCAGGAGCTATTAACAGTTTGATACACTTTTATGAAGAAGTGGGATTTTAATGATTTTTTTGAAGGAGTGGAGACTGGGTTAGAGTGCTAGAGTGCGCTAGTCCCCAAACAGATTTACTTTCCCAGCCCCAAGTCTCCCTCTGTACTTCTGCCCACTTCACCTCCCACGACATCATGGAGCCGTCTCTTTATGGGCAATGCAATCAAATGCTTCTCGTAGGAAAGAATTGAACACAATGCTTTCCTATAAGGTGCAATTAGTCACATGTCTGAGAAAATGCCTACAGACATCCACTAGAGGCGTGTTTAACCCTGCAGTTTCTACAAATCTACAATGTTTTACATTGGGGTAAAAACTACAGGACCACCCAACTTCATTGAGATAAAGTGGTGCATTCAGTTTTTTTTTTTTATTTATTTATTTTTTTAAATGGTGCTGTATTTTAGCTATTCATTCATAGCGTGAAAAGTCACTTTATTACATTAATTACTAACCAGTTTTAAAAAGGCACAATATTAAAACATAGGGGATATAAAAAAAAAAAAAAAAAGGTATATATTATTTTATTAAATATCAGCACCATTTGTTCATCATTTCTGCCTTTTCTTCAAAATCTATAGAAAATAGGTCTTCTGAGAACAAAAATGAACAGAATTACAGTGCAATAAAAGGAGTCAAAAAAGTATTCACTATTCTACACAGTTTGTGGAAAATTTCTTTAATTCGATCACATTCCTACTTGGCTTTGCTGTTGCATTGATGCTTTTTCTTGGCTGTTATAACTTTATACAGATGCAATCACTTAATAGCGTGTCGCTACTTTACTCTGGCAAACAAACTTCTACATCTCTCCCACCTCTACGACTTCCATCATTTTCACCCTCTGTAACTATTGAATTTTTGCTCATGTATGAGAATAGATTGGACTTTATTGAAGATCATGCAAGATTGCTTAGGCCACTTTGGATCTTATGCCTTTATTTTAGATCCTGAAATATAAGCAATTTCATCAAATGAGGTGTAACTGGCAATCTCGTTTGAAAAATGTTTAGCACAGTTTTGTGTTTTTTGTTTTTTTTAAATAACAACTCTTCAAAGATTGCAAGACTTGTTTAGAATGACTTAAAATGCAGATTGTTTACAAATATTTAATAAACAGTTGAATATGGAAAAAACCAAAGACACAAAACACATCTAATAGTTTTGTTAACACTAAAATTGAAGTACTACATTAAATTGCTTAAAAATTAAAATGGTACTTTTTTTTACATTCCAGTGCTGAGGTGCATGCTTGGAAGAGTGTATCGACCATGCTGGCAGATATGATGCACAACAAAGATTCCTCTTGAACACCGTTCTAACCGGAATTACATCCGACAAACATTTGCAATTTGTTACTTTAAAAAGAAATCAAATGAAAAGTCAGTAATTGTTTTGTAAATTTATTATTGTAAATAAAAAACTTAGCAACACAAACAAGTATTGACCATTCTTACAAAATCTTCATGTAACGATAAAATCAAAAACATACAACAACACTGTACAACCCTGTTTAAAGAAACAAAAATAACTTACAAAATAACTATTTACAGAATTAAAACTACCGGTAAATCAAAATTACAGTCTAAAAAAGGTTGTTAACTTGGCTTGTCCTGCGATCAGTTTATTTTTAGGTGTGGTTTTACTGCTGATTCTTGAGGTTTGTTTAGAGGAGTCTTTTGGTTTTGTAGAGGTTAGCTGAGACATGCTTTTCTTTCCAGGAGGTTCATTGTCTCGATCATTGAGGTTTTCACTGTTCATGTCTACTTTCTTCCTCTTTGTGCTCTTGGATGCTTTGCCTTTTCTTTTCACATCTGTATCACTGACATTTATGTTTCCAGAAATTGATTGAAGTCCTCGTCTTTCCACACGCACGTCTGCAGTGAGTGAGAAGAATATGTTAATTATGAAGCTGCGTTATTGTAGTGTTCCTGTGTAACATTCGATTCCATTTTATTTGAGCCACAACCATATAAATGTTTGAATTTGGTTTAAACAGATGGCCATTAATCATATTGTTCTGATTTGTGGTAAAACTTAAAATACAATATCCAGTCAGTCATGCACCATGACCTGTAACATGATGGTAATGGTAGCATATCAAATGTTTAAACACATAAAAAGGGTTTTCCTTAGTGCAAAAATTGCAGACACCTGATTTGTTGTTTTGCAAAGGTTGTGTACAAGTTGTGCTAACCAAGCACCTTTAAGGAGCAGAGTGTGCAATATACACTTTTTTGTATACCTACCTATCCTAACACCTCGGAACACAAAAGAATTTACACGTGATAAGTGGAGACTTGAACAAGTTGTTACAACCTTGCAGCCACCTGCTGATAAATGACACCCGAACCACACATCATGGGACGTGGCATGTAGCCTTTGAGGTACTTCTTACATGCAGTTTCAGTAACCATATAGAGACAGTGGGGATCTTTACGCAAATATAACAAACATTTTATTTGTAAAAACCAAGAATATTTTCTAGGCAAGCCCTACTAAATCTAGAATATAATCCTCTTGACTCCACAAGGTACCTTTCATAAACTTATGCTGCACTACAAGTAAATCTAGATGACCGGTTTGAAAAGTCAATTGCTTTTTTCATACAGCTTTCCAATAAAAGATTTGTTTTTTAATTAAAGGGCCACTATAGTGCCAGGAAAACACTTGTTTTCCTGGCACTAGAGTGCCCTGAGGGTGCCCCCACCCTCAGGCTCCCACTTCCATGGCGCTGAAGGGGGAGGAAGGGGCTAATCCCTTCCTTTTTTCCAGCGGCGGGCTCCCTCGGCGCTGGGGACTCTCCCTCTTCTGATGTCCCTGGCTGAATGCGCATGCGCGGCAAGAGCCACGCGCATTCAGCCAGTCCATAGGAAAGCATTGACAATGTTTTCCTATGGACACTGGCGTCTTTTCACTGTGAAAATCACAGTGAGAAGCGCAGATGCGCCTCTAGCGGCTGTCAATGAAACATCCACTAGAGGCTGAATTAACCCATAGGTAAACATAGCAGTTTCTCTGAAACTGCTATGTTTACAGCAAAAAGGGTTAAACCTAGCTGGACCTGGCACCCAGACCACTTCATTAAGCTGAAGTGGTCTGGGTGCCTATAGTGGCCCTTTAATATTCTACACTGGTCACATCTGCAATGAAGGGATAAAGTATCATGTTACCGATCATCAAGTACTTTATAACTGCTTCCCAAGCAAGTCACACTAACTTCTCATGATGCATTGTCAACATTGGTCATAAAGCAATTTAACAGTGCGGTCACGGTTACCAAAAGCCTTTTCTGTTAATGTAGTCAAGTAGAATCATTTTCTAGAATCTTTTATAAACAATTAAGAAGCCACAGGCACTAAGCACTGTGTCATATATATATGGTGGCAATGAAGTAGTTAATCTGTTGTGTCTAGGATTTGAATGTGAGGGATTTTACATCTTGTGATAGTTGGTCAGTTAGACAGGTATCTGGGCAGAATTGATGGCACAGCTGTTTCTGGGGGCTGAAACTGGCCTGGGATTGGTTGAAAGTAGCAAGCAGAAAAAGAGCGGGAAACTGGAACAGTATAAAAAGAAGCAGCACATGTTTAATCCTGTCAGAGTTGACTGCAGCAGGAACAGTGCAGGTGGACATCACCCCACTCCCTTTACTTTTATTTAATTGTATTGTCGTGGTGTTATGAAGCATTGGGGCAAAAGTCATCCTCTGGGTCAAGTTCTGAGGAAGGATATGGTGGTAAATTGTTTTAAATAGAAGGCAGTCAGGTCAGTTATGACTGACTGGCAATATGGTGGTTAATAAAGTTAAAAGTTTAGAAAGGTGGTGAACCATATGTTATATGGTTATGGTTACAAAGTTATGGTTGTAAGCCTCTTGAGCTTTGAATAAACACCATGACCAAGCCCATTGAAAAGTAATTAAACTTTGTCTGTGGTTATTGTGGGGTCTCATTTTATTTATACAAATATTGCCTACCATACATATGTAGACTGTACTCTAAGATATGAATCCTCTGCTTGTTTAGTCCTCTGTTTACATTAAATCATAGGATTAAAATTTGACATCGCCTCCTTGCGGAATCTTTGCTAAAATATGTAGTTAACGGACATTAATAACATACCATTGGTGTCTTCATCAAAACAGAGTGCTGGAACAATCTTTGGTGCTGGATGAACACATGTAGGAACTTGGCTCATACTGGGGAAGTCACCTGGCTTTATTTGCATTAGGTTACTATCTTTATATGTGCATGCAAACTGAGATTTGATCAGATTCTGTTTCAACTAAAGGGGGTTAAAAAAAAAAAAAAAAAAATTCAAAATCCACACATCTTTTATAACAATTTTTTTTAACATTAAATAAATCTGAACAAAATCTTTACATTGAATCACGTGTGCAGAAAAAAGAAAAAAATAGTGCTGAACATTTGTAGCAAAATGGTGAAATAGAAATTTGTCAAAATAATGTACTAGATCAAAAGCCATTCTAGCAAGTATGGGCATTTTTAACAGAACGGAAAAAAAACTATAAAAGAAAGAAAATAAATTTTTAAATACACACACAATTTTTTGTTTTTATACTTTATGTAAAATACACATAAATGTATATATTATGAATATTTTACATAAATTTTAACCCCTTCCGGAACGCAGACGGAAATTTTCCGTTAAACGTTGTCCTTCAGTTAAGGACTGTTGAGGGAAAATTTCCGTCATTTACTAAAAAGTTAACCCCAGATCGCCGCGACTCCTTTCCCCTGCTTTAATAAAATGAACCCCTTCTCTGCCAATTGATCACTGACTACAGTGATCAATTGGCAGGGTATACATTTTAATGTCATCTGATAAAAAAGGTTAAAAAAAAAAAGTTTAAAAAAGTTTTAGTAACGTTTAAGTAAAAGAAAAACCCACCACTCCTCTTTAAAGGAGGAGACTATATTTAAAAGAAGAAAAACTACCACAACAAGAGGACATAGTCTTAAATTAGAGGGACAAAGGTTTAAAAATAATATCAGGAAGTATTACTTTACTGAGAGGGTAGTGGATGCATGGAATAGCCTTCCAGCTGAAGTGGTAGAGGTTAACACAGTAAAGGAGTCTAAGCATGCGTGGGATAGGCATAAGGCTATCCTAACTATAAGATAAGGCTAGGGACTAATGAAAGTTTTTAGAAAATTGGGCAGACTAGATGGACCGAATGGTTCTTATCTGCCGTCACATTCTATGTTTCTATGTTTCTATGTTACCCAGTCTAAATAAAAATTAACCCCTTCCCTGCCAGCTGATCAAAATATAGATTATACTGTAATCTAATTTTTTTTAACCCTTGAGGATTAACTTTTACTTATTTTTTAACCCTCAGGGGTTCAATTTATTTAATTTAAATATTTTATAATTATATATATTTTGCTAGCTGGAGTGGGTGGGAGTTATGGGAAAGGGGGAGGAATTTACTGTTAGTGCTGCTTACTGCTAGTTAGAGGTTAACTGTAAAAGAAAAGTTTAGAAAAAAAAATGTAAAAAGTTAAGTGTAAAACATTTAATAAGTAAAAAAAAGTTTACAAACGGGTTTTACAAAGTAAAAAAAGTTTTACAAAGTAAAAAAAATACATTAAAAAAATGCTCATTACCACTACAAGCTAGCGGAAAAATTATCCCACGCTAAGGTTCAAAATATGCCTTTTGAATTACCCTGGGATGTCTTCTTTAAGAAATGGTATGGCTTTAATGGATATTTGGATTATATAGCCTGGTAAAATACTCTAAAATGAGACATGGACACAGTGTAAAAGTTTAAAGTTTGAAAAGAACTGTAATGGTTGTGCCCAAATGTGCCCCTCCGATGTCCACATATACCAGGCAAAGGTACATACGGGGGTATTGCTGTACTCAGCCCACATAGCTGAGCAACATATGAATTATTATACAGTCGTAGCATACATACGATTTGCAAAATACTGTGCAAACTCACTTTGTGTGTCAAAAAGGCAAAAAAAGCTTATTACCACTACACTTTGTACAAGCTAGCGGAAAACTTATCCCATGCTAAGGTTCAAAATATGCCCTTTGAAATACCCTGGGATGTCTTCTTTAAGAAATGGTATGCCTTTATGGTGCAGCTGTAATATGTAGCCTGCTCAAGTGCTCGAAAGTGGGACACGGACGCATCAGAACTCGCCATGAAAATTCACACTTAAAAACCTTAACTTGCCATGTCTCTTTTACAGCAGTGTAACTTCACAAAATAGTGTCTAGGTCATACATTGGGCATATTGTTTTACTCCGAAGACTTAGCTGAGGATAATTTGGGGGGTTTGAACTTAGTGGCACATATGAAATGTACAAAATGCCCAGCAAAAATAATCCGTATGTAAAATATGCCCAAAATTATTTTTTACCACATACTTTGGCATATATTGGTGAAAAAATGGGGACATATTAAGGCAAAATATGAGATACCCTGGAGTGTCTACTTTTACAAATGGTAGGCCTTTGTGTTTTCTTTTTTTTTGAACAGTCAAACTGCTATAATACCCCAAATTGAAGCATAGGCCCATTTAATCCGCCTCTCAAAATTCTACTGTAAATGTTGAAACGGACAGGTCTCCTATATGGCACTGTAGCTTCACGAAATAGTGCCAAAGACATACAATGGGGATATTGTTGTACTCAGCAGAAGCAACTGAACACAAAATACAGGAATAGCACACACCAACTTTACAAAATACACATGAGAAGTTCTTTGTTATAAGTTTGTGTGCCAAAAACCCCCAAAAAATAAATTTGACTCCAATATTTAGCAGAGATTGGCGGTGAAATAGCTAGGTAGAAAGTGTCAAAACAATCTTAGGACAATAGCCTATGATGTCTACTTTATCTAAATATATACTTTTGTGTGGCAATTTTGTTTTCTTTTATGGCTATTAAGCTTACAAGACAAACATACCAAATTCTAAAATCGCTCCACATTAAAAGTTTATTTTACTCCTTGTGCTTTGTGACCTGTAACTACCCCCCAAAAAAATAAATAAAAAAAAAATAAAAAAAATTTAAAATCCCAGACACATTATATATTCTGTAAATCAGAACAACTAAATTAATTTATTTTTAATTACTTTCTTTAACCTGCACTAATTAGGCACACATTATTATTGCAAAAACTGTACAAAAAAAAAACAAAACACAAATTCTCTCCTTTTTTGTGTGTGTGTGTGTATATATATATATATATATATATTACATATATATATATATATATATTACAACAAATTAAAGCCCTTTCTGTCCTTTAAAAAAAAAAAAAAAAACAGTATAGAATATGTGTCGGTGCAACAAACGAGAGAGATGCAAATTGCAGTTGAACGCATACAGCAAGAAAATGCAAAAATTGCTTGTGTCATTAAGCTTAAGACAAGCTTCTGAAGCTGTGTCCTTAAGGGGTTAAAAACAAAAATTAAGTGTAGGTACACTGAAAACAGATGGTGTTTTGGTTAATGAAGACACAGAACTATGTCCTCAGTATATATTAAGGAACCTATGGCAAGAGATATGCAAATGATTGCTGCAAAGAATTTGCAGAAAGAAAATGTGATTGGATGACAAGACAAGTTCTGCATCCACTAAAGAAAGTTAATGTAAACAAAGCCCCAGGGGCCTGACGGCATTCACTTGAGTACTTAAAAAAATAAAATTTAAATACACACAATATAGGCCTATGAGTACTATAGGCCACCCAAACCACTTCAGCTCATTGAATAGGTCTGGGTGCAATGTCCCTGTCCCCTGAACCCTGCAATTGTAATTGTAATTATTGCAGTTTCTGATAAGCCTGCAATGTAATTATGGACAGCCACTAATGACACTTCCTTGTGGTTAGGCCCTATATTTGGTCACCTAAATTATGCTGGACTTCCTCACGCTCTGCATGAGACAGTCCAGCGTAAAGCAAAACCCCATCGGAAAGCATTGCAGCAATGCATTCCTATGGGGAGGGCCTAATTATTTTTCTGCACAAACGCCTTAGCACCCCACATCGAAGGAGGTGGAGCGCTGACCAGCGCCAAGGGACATCGGCACTGGGATTGGGCAAGTACATTAAGGGTATTTTAACACTTAATTGCAGGGCGGTGGGGCACAAGGGAGCTATAGTGCTAGGAATACAGCTTTGTATTCCTAGCATTACAGTATCCCTTTAATGAGCTAAGTGTGGAAAGAGTTTTTCATCTTTCAGGATTCTTTTCGTTCAAAAATTGGAGGAAAGAATATCTGGTTCCTATTTTCAAAAGAGTTCAAAATTCTTGCCTGGAATTGATAAGCCAGTGAACTTAACTTCTTTATAGATAAGAAAGTATCTGACGGGTTACTAAGTTAATTAAGTAATAATTTGCAGGAACTCATTGGGAAGCACATTGTTCTAGATCAGAGGGAGTGCACTTATATGGCCCTCCTTATTTCATAAATTATTTTTGGATGATTTTTGGGTTGTGTACTTTCTAGGGCATTTGGTCTTTGGGGGATTTTATAGTCTAAAGAGGAAATGGGAGGAAGGATTGATGGATCTTAACATTTTTGTGTTTTATTTTATTTTTTTATAGTGTCATGTCTGAAGGAAATGGAGATATCCCTAGTGTTGCACTACCTCTAATATGTAAGGAAAATCTTGCCCCATTTTATAGGTGTAAGGCTATTTTTTTTAATTTGAATCTATGAAAAGAAACGGTGATCTAGTCATAGAATGGACAGAGGAGAAGGAGTATACATGAAATAGGGGAATGCTTTATATGAGAGAAAGAAGTGTGTGTGATGCAGTCCCAGACTGGAATACAGCTTCCCATGCCTGTTGGGTTCAGTTTAATAGTGTGTGTTAGTCATTACATGTTTGGGGATAGAGGAGTATGGCCCACGTAGTGGGAGTCACCAGATAGTGAGCCAGACAATAACATAATTGATTTACAATTGTGCTTCTTTACTCTGCATATATTTGCTAGATTTAGTTATTCAAGGTTTGGAAAACAGATTTGGGAAAGAGCTAATGTGTAATAATTTTAGAGATGGTACGGAGTGGGTGTCGGCATGGAAGAGAATATAGGTGTTTTGAAAAAATATTACTTTGTATTAGTGGGGTCTGCCAATGCGGGATATTGAGAGGGAATTCCTGTTTAGTAATAGGGAAGAGATTGTCATCAGAAGGGGAGGTATATTACAATTATTTAAAAACCTGGACATTATTCTATCCACTTCTGCCAAGTTAATACAGATATTTTACTTCCATATTACCCTTAAAAGGTCATCTAAATTTGGACAGCAATATTAAAGGCTGGTGTAATCATTAGAACATTTTGCAAGCCATTAATAGGTAAAGAAAAAACTATTCTACCTTGGGTTTACTTTCTTTAGTGCATTTCTGTACACGTTGACTGAGAGGTTTCGGAGACAACCCACTACATTGCTCAGGTGACCTACAAAATGAAAATGTATATTAAACCAGAATTAATAATTTATGATTAGCATAAAACATATCTGCATGAACACAGATTTATATCATTTTAGTACAACAAAAGAGGAGGATTACAAGATCACTTTTACACAAATATACACTTAATCTATGCATTATGCCAAATCACAAGGAAATGTATAGACTACAAGATATATCTATTAAAACTCCAAAAAAAAAAAAAAAAAATTATATATATATATATATATATATATATATATATATATATATATATATATATATATATATATATATATATATATATATGATAGCACTTTAAAGGGACACGATAGTCACCCAGACCACTTCAGCTCAATGAAGTGGGCTGGGTGCCATGTCCCTCTAGGGTTAACCCTGCCTGCTGTAAAGATAGTAGTTTCAGAGAAACTGCTATGTTTACATTTGGGGTTAAGCCAGCCTCTAGTGGCTGTCTTCCGGACAGCCACTAGAGGCGCATCTGCAACGCTGGAGGCATATTATGCCTCCATCACGCAGAGCGTCCATAGGAAAGCATTGAGAAATTCCGCTCCGCTGGCGTCAGACAGGGGAGCTGACGTCGGCGGGGTTTTTACCCCTTCAGCACCACCAATAGAAGTAAAAATCTGTAATAAGCTGCTAACAATTTAAGCAATTCTGCAATTGTTTAAGAAGGCTGAAAATTTTGTTTTAAAAAAAAATAAAAAATTTCCCTGTTATACACAGACAGACAGATGAATAGGTGATGGACGGCATAGAATAATTAAAACTCATTAAAATTACAGTATTTGAATTTGGCCACAAAGGACACAGTCGTTCACAAAATATATTCTACACGGAAATTTGAAAAAGTGCAATAAAATACCTAAATAGCGTTACAAGAGAGAAGGCTCCAAACAATGTAGAATCTTCATCTGCACACAGCAACTCTGCCTTGTTTTTGCTGGGGAGACATGCAGCTTCTTCATCCAAAAGTAGTAGTAACATTTTTATAGTTTCTCTATCAATTGAAGCAGTGCCACGATTTATTGCATGGATTCGAGGCTGTAAATAGATTACATTTCGTCAAACATCCTCTTCAGTAAGAAGGGCTTTGTGTGCATTGACATATACACTACATACAAGTAATTAGTTTGTATAGTAGCACTTTCCCCAAGTTTGAACAAAACTGCAAGATAAATGCTCTGAAGGTACAGGCTTGTGTACATGCCTTTATGCATTTAGTATTTTTTCCATAATGGAAATATGAATGGTGAAACCCGTGTCAGGCTTTATTAGTGTCATTAAATACATTGATTTTTTTTGCCTCACACAAAGAATGATTATCATGGACGTACCGTGGTCACAAAAGTATTTGCAATGTTGATGTTGCCACCTGTGTAAGGTATACCGACCCAATTTACATACACAAATAAATCCTAACAAATGCCAATTAACCCCTTAAGGACCAAACTTCTGGAATAAAAGGGAATCATGACATGTCACACATGTCATGTGTCCTTAAAGGGTTACTACAATCAACAGTGTTGTAAGAAAACACTGGTTTTGATAAGTTACCCTTGCATTTCCCCTTCCCAAGTCAAGGTTATATTAACCCCTTAAGGACCAAACTTCTGGAATAAAAGGGAATCATGACATGTCATGTGTCCTTAAGGGGTTAATATATATATTAAAAAAATAATAATAATTTCCTCTAATCCAATGCAGAGACCAAGTTCTCCCTACAGCCAGATCCTCCTCTGCCCCAAGCTATTGGCATAGGGATGAAGAGGAATAACAAGCTGAGGAGAGGACATAGGCAGCAGTCATGTCACCATTGGAATTCTTTTGCCAGCATGCTGACAGATGCCAAATATGCACATAATTCACATTAGCCATTTGGAATTCTGGTTTCCAACTGGCTAATTAAGTCCAAATGCAGGAAGGTTGAAAACCCATAAGACGAAAGCGTCCCCTTCTTTGTCGTATGGTATCTCTGACTGCGTTGGAATTTAAAAAGATATTCCAAAACAGTAAATCTTTATGAAACAGACTATTTCATAAAGATTCCCAGTTTCTCAAAAATGTTTGTGAGATGACAGTCATTTTAAGAATGAGTTGTAAAAGTATAACAAGGATTACTGCAGCTACCATGACCACTTCAGTGATTTGAAGTATTCATTGTGGTAGAAGTCTTGAAATGCAGCACATTCAGAGATATTTGCACTTGTATGCTGGGGCCAGCACTTGACTTTGGCAACCCAGAATCTGCCATGTGTCAATTCTGTGCCAAATTTACATCTCATCAGCACTCACTGCACATGGGCAGACAAAACAATCTTCTCCCTTGAAGGCATTATGCCAACAAGTTAAAGCTCATTTTCCATCCTATTTTTAAAATCATGTTATAATTAGTCTCTTCACATGTGCATGAGAAGCCTTTGATTGGACCATGCAAAGCTCCTGCTGACGCCAGGCGAATGAGTGTGATCGGCACCGGGAGCTTTACCCAGCGCTGGATTACAGGCAAGTTTAAACTATTTCTCTTTGTTTTATAATGGAGGAGGGCTATTAGCAATGCCCAATAGGGTATCGTAAGCCAAAAATATATCACATTTGTTTTATGCACACATGTAATTTATAAAACACTTCTCTTACCCGTGCTGGACTGATGCCTGTGGTGTTCCCATTTCCATCCTCATAGGAAAAGTTAATAAGGTTTTTAATCCTTAAATCCAAATCTTGTGCAACATCCGTTGCTGCTTCACTAAGTGGATCCCCGCTGCCTCTGCCTTTTATCAGATGTGTCTTTATTGTGGATAGGATCATCTCTCCTGCAGTTCTGAAAAACAGGCATCCAGTGACCCGAGTATGGTTTTATAAGTCAGGTACGATTTCAACAGTAGTATTTTAAAAGGCTGCCCTGAAAATCAATTCACTTTAATCTGAATGGCTAAAGAAATAAGTTTTAAAAGTGACTTTAATTAATGCTCAACAAGACCGAATACAAGTGAATTAAAAATACAAATAAAGCATTGAAGAAAGAAACCAATAAACAAAAATATAATACACATTTGCACATTATTGTGGAACCTTGGAAGATTGTCCACCTCAGTTATTCTACATTTATCACCATATTACAAATTGTTATAAATCTTACTTAACCATTTATACCAGCTTACCAGTATAATTTTCTCTACATAGTTATTTTCAGTGTGAATGCATTCCACCAATATTTCATGTACGTAGTTATTAAAATTTGGGGTGATAGAATCTAATTGGTAAACTTTTGAACTTTATCCACCCTCTCTCTCCATCCTTTGTCGTTCCTGGCTGTAAATGCCTTCATACAAAGGTCTTATCTCCATCCCTATCTGTTTCTTAGGACGGTTAGATTTTTTCCAAGTTCTACACTCCCAAATTTCCTTCTAAATTTATAGAATGCTAGTGGTTTGAGATTTTACTCTTACTCCCTTTTCCCAATCACACAGTAACAGTAGATGCAAAGTTTCTTTTCATTTTCTCTGGCCATCACTTCCAAATTCCCCCTACTACCTCTTGTCTAAAATCCCCATTATATCCTTTAGATTGTAAGCTCATGGGCTATGTAACTGGGCACCTTGCATATAAAAAATAAATAATTTTAAAAAAAATAAGTTCAATGGCTAGATCTATGTTCACAAGCAGGACGTCTTTACCTTTTGTATTGTACTGTCTCCCCCCCCACCCCCCGCCACCCCTGCTCCTCCCAAACACCCACCCCCTCCCAAATGTATGCTGAGGAACATGTTGGCACCTTATAAAATGCCAGTAATAACAGTAGGAAAAAGTGGCAAGTACCTCTATCTTGAATACTGGAGGTAGAAACACGGCAATATACTGTTGGTTTTAGTGGTGATTATTAAACTATTAGTACACTTTATAAAGAAGTCACTATAGGTTTATTTTAATTTTTTATTTTATTTTATTTATTTTTTGTGATGCTTGGCTACAAATGATCTGTAATGCAAGATATTAAGCAGACAGAAGTGATGCACAAAAAAAAGTTTCCAAATCACTCCACTTTGCCTCATAATTACTTTTAATTACTTTTAAGCACAACATCAAAAATAAATGAAGAAATATATACGAAAAAAACATCAATGTGTACCTATAAGGAATACAAACTTTAGCAATACTGAAGTGGCCATAGTGCTTAGAGTGGTCATGGTACCTGGAGCCTATACAATGTTTCAGTAAGAAAAACCGCTGCACATATGGAGATTAACCCCTGTGCTGCTAAAAGTGTAACTTAATCTCTGGCATGCTGGCACCAGACAACTAATCGCAGCTGGGCACGCATGTCTATAGGGAGAATTCAGCATCTTCCTGAAGAGTGTGGGGGGGGAGGCGACACTGAATTTGAGCCCAGCAGTCTGTACCTAGAGAGTGTCTTTAAGCGGAATTCTTGACAATGCCATCAAACTGAATATTTTGTTTAAGAAAAAAAATAAAAGATAAAATACATTATTGGAAAACCAAGGATATAAGATCAAAATTTGTCATTATGCATATAAAGTGTGCAAAAAAAAAATGCATTTAAAAAAAGCCAGAAAGGAAAAAAAAAAAAAAAAATTGTGTTCACATTTGCTTTGAACGGTAACATTATGCAACATTCTATGGCAAGTGGACAAATTGGACATGAGAGACAGGCTTGGACACAGGAGGTATAACTTATTACAGATTTTGGATCAGAAGTAAGAGTCAAAACAGTGAATAAACACAGTTCCAAGAATAATGCTTCCCTTAAGAGTGGGATGGAATGAAGAACAAAAGAAAATGAAAACAAATGGATACTGAAGACACATTTATGAACAGGAGCAAATCAGATCAAATGGACATCTTATGAGATTCTTTTAGTATCCTACCCAACTACCCTTTCACTGCCATGGCACTTTCAAGACCAGTAACTGGCATATTTATTGTTTTAGGCAATAATTAAATAAACCTTTGATCAATGATATTATACCTTCTAATGAAACATTCTAACATGAAATCTAATCTATTTAGTGGTGCTACCTTCTGAAGACCTAGAAACTCAAAAAGCCTTGGCTCAGATATAGGCAGATAACATGTAAAGAATATTAAATACAGCAGAGTATGTAATGCTGTGATTGCCACGCGTGCCCAGCAGTTCTCCATGAGAAGCATTCCAAGTCTTTAAGAAGCATGTGATTGGAATGTGTTCCGATGATCTCAAAAGGGGAGGAGGGGCAACTGCATCAGGGAGACTACTTGGTAAAAAGCAAGCAGAAAGGGCCTTTGTTTTTTTTTGTTTTTTTAAAATAAATAAAAACAAAAAAAAAATGTCAACCAAGACTTTGCGCGGACAAATCACCGGGAATTTGTAGTAATTTTCTTGAGTAGTAGTAAGTGGAGAAAAAGGCTTCCTCTTACAGGCACTGCAGGCTCAATATGTCCACATTGCCAGCATGCTGTGTGCGCCGATGACAGGCGTATTTTATGCACAGAATTGATGAGAGTTTTGGACTGTAACGTGCCCAGGAAGTAAGTTGTACCAGGGGTGCAACTAGACCCAGGCACAAAATTGTAGATTAAAAAGTATGTGCAGTGTGTCAAGCTAAATCACTGCATATACACACTCCTACCACCATGGCCACTTCAAATCACTGAAATAATGGTGGTGGTTTGAGTAACCATGTAATGTTAGTGTGCCTTTAACGGATCTTGAATCTCAGCAAAAGGTTTAAAACACTTCCTTTGTAAGCAAAATAACCATTCATAAAGTCTGTGCGCAAACTGCGTACAACATTTAATAAATATTTACCACTACCATATTGATTGCAACAAAATAAACAAAATCAAAGTGGTTGAAAGCCAAGAATTTTTTTTGAATGTAAAGTGAAATAACAGACGTCATGAATACATGATTTATTTTTCAGCTCTCAGTGAGAATTCTCTGGAAATCAGCCATTACTGGAAAAAGTATAAAGTAGTCAAGCAGAAACCCTCAAATCCCTTCTAAAAATTTTAAATAGATTCCGAATTAAAATTGCAAAAAAAAAAAAAACAAAAAAAAAACAGAAAAGCAAATTTCCTTTTGGCACATTAGAGACACACACACACACACATTAATTGGCGCAAAAAAAATGATAACATTTTATAAAAACAAATCCTCCTTTGTGGTTTGTTATAGCTACAGCAATTTTACAAATGGCTGCAGCTATAAGCCACTTTAGGTAGAATGGCTACCCTGCACCATAGTTTTTCAGTGACGCACAGTTTTTATTATGGTGCTTAGAGAGTGAGCCTATAAGAATGGCTATTCACACCTATTTCCCACCTAACTTAAAAACTTTCTGTGTGTTGCAATTTCTCACGCATTTCTTTTTCCACTTTGCACTGTGTTCTCCATTAGTTTGTCCTTTTGCTTCATACAGTGATGATCATCACCAGAATTTGAGATATTTCTGACCTAGAGGCAGACTGAGGTCAATGGGAAATGTAACACAAACACATTTGCACTGCCAACATTAACCGTTACTGGACTACATAGATGCACAAAACAGAGATGCGCAAACAAATGTGAAGTTGTTTAGCGCGAGTACCATGTCAAACCATTCAAAGTAATCATTAATACCTTGTGTCTTTTGTTTCTCCAAGAATTTCATTTAGTTTGTCTATGAAGTGAACAAAATGAGTAAGTCCTTTCACATGCTTTCTTAAAGGATCGGATTCAGAAGGTGCGTAGCCCTTTCCTCCGAGTTCTAGAGTTCTGATAAACGATGTAGCAACCTGGCAAAAAAAACCCCACAATGTTCAAAGCTCTCACTAGATTGTAGACAAGCTTAGTTTTTTCAGGACAGTCTCAAAAAAAACCCAAAAAACACACACCCCACAGAATTCCAGTTATTCCTTGCTCCAAAACCTATTTCCTACTATAACTTCTCCCCCCTGTATCCATACGGGGGGGGGGGGATTCTAAGCTTCACAGGCAATAACTTAATCTGGGATTTATGGACCAGAGTGTCTTTGGTTGCTGTCCTGTTTGTGGTAAACTGTTAAAAAGGATTTAAAATAAATAAGGTAAAATATAAAAAGAAAGGGCTTTTCAGCTTGCAGTTTGGGCAATACATACGTTTGCAGTGGATGGCAATAAAAGGCTAAGAGTGCTGACCTATTATTACTAACCAAAGTCAGATGGTCTAATGTGGAAGGTTACTTCCACATTAGCAAGGCACAATATTATCATTTATCCCAGAAGCATCGTAAAAACTGTAGATTCATTAAAATACAGCCATACATGACACCTCTTATTGACAAAATATGCACAATATAGGTTTAACCACAATTTGCAGAGCCAAGGATATTGGCCAGACTTGTTTATAATGTTTTCATTGTAATATTTGGAATTTCCAATAATTTACCGACCAATGTTCGTGGTTATCTTACCAAAAACAGAGACATCTGATTCTGTCGTGATTTGCGTTTCAGGTCCGTGAAGGCTTCCCTGCCGAGCCCCCTATCAGGACAATTGAGGACCTGGGCCAAAGCAATGTCATTTTTTGAATTAACCAGTAGATTTAAATACCCACAGAAAATTCTCTTCAGTGTTTCGTTAACCTGCACAAAGCAAAAATGAAAATTACTTAAACACATTCTTACAGTCAGACATTGTAACTTGCTAAAGTATTATTGCAAATCAATTTTTTTTATTTTTTTAGGTAAATACATAACATACAGAGTAAGGTTTTCAAATTAAGTCAAGCAATATTAAGAAAAGCTACCTTACGCAATATAAATACAACAGTGCAATGCCAAGTAGGACTTGGTTTCAAAAGAGCTACACAACTACCTATTTTTGTTGAAATAGTATAGAGAGAGGAGCAAACGATACATGATAGCTAGATCAGAAGAAAGCAATTAGTTTAAAACGAACAACCACATGTATTATACCTGGATTACGTAAATATAAACCACCAGAGTGGGCTGTCAGATCAATGTGATAACATAACGAAATAGTATAAAATTGCTTAATAGATCAAAACAAAGCATTAAAGAGGTAGCCCCCCTGCACCAACTCTCCACAAGGTATTAGAACAGCACAGAACTGCAGCAGCTACCTTCAGAGAGTCCAGGTTATTTTTACTTGGAGTAAACACAGGCATAAGAGTGGTCTCTGTCTCGTCAGGATGTCCTCCAGCAATAAATTCCAGTAACTGATCCTGCTCAGTAAAGAAAGATGTTGTGGTAAGTTTTGTAACTTTTCGCACATATTAACAACAATTTACAAAATAAATTATGAATTAAATTATATATTAAAATAAAAACCACGTTAATTTTAATAGCGTCACATGGGAATTGTTACATCATATTGGATCTCTCTATAGAGAGAGTTACCAAATTACCATGACATGGCTTGCGTTACAGTTAAGCATAAGTTCATTTAGATGCATATTTGTTCACTTTCACTTAAAATTCCAGAGAGTTGAAAGCTTGCCTTGATTACAGAAGCACCATGGCTGTGCCCTTTTATATATCCACGTGTTATACATGACTATATAGGTTTTGACCCCTGCAACAGTGTAAATTGGACAAAAATCATCATGAATTGCCAAAACTAAACAAGAATGGCAGTCCAGTTTTATTTAGACTTACAGAAGATAAGCTGTCTGGCTCACTGTAATCCTCCAGTGTACGGCACTTCTCGTGTAGATCAATTAGATCCAACGTGCTGCTGTTTTTAAGGAAAAGATTATACATTTCTTTCACAGATGCATAACTTTCAGGAACCTCTTCAGCATCATGATGTAGTCCAAGTTTATCTTTAAGCAAGTATTTCCATACCAGTAACAGGTCACTAAGTGACACCGAAAATTCTCCGCCATTCTAAAAAAAAGAGAGGAGAGAAAACAAAATTAAGGAAAAATCACAGTGCACAAGAAACAGATACTGGTGTTTTTTTTTTTTTTCTCATTGAAACAAAAGTTAGTGTAGACAATTATGTGCAAAGTGATAATTAACAGAGGAGGTCACAAAGTATCCACAAGAAAGTTTTGTAATGTATGTGTCATACCGCCTGGAATAACTCAATCTAGCAGAGTTAGATAAATAGACATAACATTACTTCTTGCATATAGTATAGGGCTATTCCAAGCTAGGGAAACAGAAAATATATGGCATAGTGCAATACTGTATATACTGTGATTGGATATATGGGTAAGTGACAAATGCTCACTCACACTTTAACATCCCAAGAAGTGCTTTCAGAAATATGCTGTGTCTTCTTTGCTTCAGATACTTGGTAAATGTGTAGAAAACTTAAAGAACGAATTTTGGAACATAAAAATATTAGAAAAAAAACATGATAAACATTCGGTTCCCATGCATTGTAATTCACGTCTTAATTTTAGTTGGAAACATTTCCACTATATAGGTCTAGAAATAATGGACAACCATTGGAGGGGTGGCAACCTTATTAAAAGACTAGCACAGCGAGAAACGTATTGGATCAATATATTAAAAACCCTCCAACCAGGAGGATTAAATGCAGACATAGATCTGTGGTGCTTTTTGGAGTAATTCTTTTTTTCCTCTGCTCTCTTTCCTTTTTCTTTTGCTCTCTATGGGTGGTGTATATTGTCATATATCCCTCTATATGTTTTTTGGCATTGAACAAGCCAAGAATCTATTCTATTTTTTCCTACCATTGAATATAAAAGGAACTATAAATACTTGGTCTTCCAGTAGTATTAGATATATCTTAATTTTAAAATTACAGATTTTCTGTTGAAGGTAGATAAACTACCATGTTTTATTATTACATATTTTTTTACTATCATTTTTTTTATATATATATTCATTTTTTGCAGAATTAATATTTTAATGCATTTATGGCATTATTTAGAACATCTTGGCTTGTGCATATCACATTATGCAGTGTGCATGTTGCCTTATGTAGTTGAGCATTCATGCACACTGACATACAAATGTATTAATGTAAGAAACACAGGTTACTAGTGTGTGTTTTGTCTTTTATAAATAAAGTTTGTTTAGAAATCTTCAAATCAGTAATATCTCTTTAACCTGTTTTTTATAAATAAAGATTATTCAAAAAACCTTTAAATTAGCAATATCTTTTTAACCTCTTTGCCATTCCCTTTTGTATACTCCCCCCACTTGTATTTCTATTTAGAAACAGTCTTTTTTGGGACTTTTTTTCAACATCTCAGTTTGTAATTATGAGTGACAGCCGAAACAAAGGTGGAACGCATAGCTGGAACGCATGACGTCATCACGCACATCACATGACCGCACAGGATACACGAAACCCGGAAGTAACTCAAATTTGAATTGAAAACAGCTGAAGAGAAATGGAATCACCTGCAGAACCACTATTGGGACTGATTGGGGGTGGTATATATTGGGAAATGTTTGTAACTAGGTTTATATGTATTTTTATTCATCATCTTTGTGAAAGATTGTCCTTGAGGAAGTCCCTAACAGGGAAGAAACGCGTTGGACTGATTTACCTGCTTTTATTTACTTTGATGTAAGTAATAAATGCTTTTTTTACTCTTCACTCAAAGGCATTCAATCTATATTTTTTGCACTTTGTTTTTTTATGTGAGATTCACATTTACCAAGTATCTGAAGCAAAGAAGACACAGCATATTTCTGAAAGCACTTCTTGGGATGTTAAAGTGTGAGTGAGCATTTGTCACTTACCCATATATCCAATCACAGTATATACAGTATTGCACTATGCCATATATTTTCTGTTTCCCTAGCTTGGAATAGCCCTATACTATATGCATGTTGAATTGAAGATAGGAGGAAATCTTCGGGCATATCCTATATTGCTAAGGGAAGTTATTTCATTTTCTATCACAATCACTTGTTGAATTGTAATTCATACAGCACTGTATGTGAACACTACTTATGAGTGTGTGAGAAATTCTATATATTTTTTTATAACATTACTTCTGCCAGGAAAATTGGACCTTCAATTTCAACCATCTGACCAATTTGGGTCTACTGAAGCTGGTCAAAATTGAGCACTGCAATGCAAAGGTGAAGAGCATGTGCAAAGGGACATTCCAAGCACCACGGACACTACAGCTTGCACCAACCAAGATTATATAGTCAAACTACTTAAAAACAAGTTATTGGGCTAGCACTGGGCATAGCCCCCCACCTCCTAAGCAGGAGCTTCCTTTAGATCTCCTGAGCTTCTGAACCGTGCAGTATATCAAACTGTAGAAAAGCTCACCCCGCGCTTTCAAAGCACAGATAACATGCATTAAAAAAAAAAACAAAGAAAAACAAAAAAAACACGCACAAACAGGACAGTGGGACAGATCTCTTCTACCTAACCCAGGACTTTATGTGTATGAACAGTATGAGGTTAAGACTTTAAAAAGTCCAATAAATGTCATTCTTTTTGATCCCGCGCATTATTGTTTAATCTTTGCTTTCTCAGGAGCCAAAAAAATAAAATAAAATAAAAATGTTTTCTATAAAGCGTGTGAGGAGAACAGTGAAGACTTTGACGCCTTAATTAAACTTTACCCATCTTGAAATATATGTTTACAAGTTAACACTGCCTGACTTTTCTTAGAAAACAAAAACAAACACCTTACATAAATCAGTACTCTCTGGTCCTATCAGATATGCTGTCAGAAGTATCCTGATATCCAAATGGAAATTTTGCAAGAGAGAAATCACATTAATTAATCCACTAACCAGTGGATTTAGCAGGATTTCACAGCACTGGTATTAAGGTGGAGCTCTCCATTTTTAAAATGTTCCCCCCACGCCCCACTTTTCCATAAGTAACAGTTTTACTTCTGGTTATTAAAGGGACACAATAGTCACCAGAATAACTACAGCTTAATGTAGTTGTTGTGGTGAGTATAATCATTATATTCAGGCATTAATGCAAACACTGCCTTTTCATAGAAAAGGAAGTATTTACACTGCCCCCCTCAGGATACCTCATGTAGCCACTCCCCAGCACTAGAAGTGCTTCCTGGGGCAGTGCTGCACAATGGGCAGCACTGCCGGTCAGGACGCTGAATTTTCCCTCGGAAGTGCATTGGTTCAATGCATCTCTAGGAGGTGGGGCTGGTTGCCCAAGCCGGTGTTTGGCCCCACCCTTGTCAATTTCAGCCAATGGCTAAAGATCGTACATTCTGATGTCACCAAGTGGTTCGAGTGGGCTGGGCCAGCACTGGCAAACCCCCGCGGCGCTGGAAATAAGGTATATTTTAACCCCTTCTAAGGGGATTAAGAGCAAGTAAGCTACCTAAATGGTGGTTTAAACACTATTGGGTCAGGAATATATAGGTTTGTGTTCCTGACCCTATAGTGTTCCTTTAAGGCACACTGCTTCATGACAGACATTGTTATTCATTCTGTTCTCACTTTGTGGTAAATGGTAAAGCTAAGCTTAAAAAGAAAGAGTTGTTACTGCCTTTCTTCAGACAGAAACAACCCAACAATCCACAACAAGACAGTCATTTCAGCATGAACAGAATGCAATGTCCCTTTGCGCTACATTACAGTAGGATTCTATTGAACCGTAATGCTGGGTGCATAGATAATCTCTACAAAGCCTTGAAGCACTGTGTTATGAGAAGTGTGACAGGAGTGTTTATTTTGGGGTTAAACACCATTCGAATTCCAAATAAAACAACATTGCTTAGAGATCAGTTTTCCTGATCAGGTGCCCACCATGACAGCACTTTTTATTGTTTTATAAAGCAGCCATCGGTTGTGCCAACATGTGGTCAAAATCAGAGAAATGAGTGGGCTGACAGAACATGCCAGCTGGCTCAAGCTGGAAGGAAGTTCAGAAGGTACATTTTTTACTCCAGCAATAGACATCAGCAAGATCATATTTATAAGACTTTCTAATTAATAACATAGCTTCAGGCAATTTTGACAGGTTGTTCGGAACAAAAGATATTTCAACTGTGCCATTTCCTAGGAAAATAATTTTAACAGATTTCCTCCATATCCCATTTTGAATCCATGTAACTAGTATAATTTTTTTTTTTACACACACACACATCAGAAAAAGCTATTTCCTGATCAATCACCATGGTTAGCTCCCAAACACAGATGAAAGAACAGGAAATAAAACTCTGAGATTAGTAGAAATGGGACAGCTCCTTCCCTACTATAAGTCTGTCTTCTGTCCTTCACAGCACAAGGATAAATTTAGCAGGCCAGGTATTAATTTTACGTCAACAAGGCCACTTTTTGAAAAAGGCCAAGCCAGTGGGTTTAGCCTCTCTTTCTGGATAATCTGCCCACGCTGCCCTTTTAAAGATCTCCCCCATGTGTGTACCTCCTTTTAGTGACTGAAGGCTTGACCTAAAAGAGGGACTCATGGCACTATAACCATTTCATCCAATTAAAATTAGTTATAAATTACTAGAGCCGTCCCTCAATTCAATGTTAAACCATATTCAAACAGTTTAACACTGAGTGAGGGTTCATTGCTGCCCACAGCTCATCCCCCACAGGAGGTATGGCTACAGCTGAGATGACACCTGCCTTCGTCATACCAGCAATACGCTGCTGTGATAAGCTGAAAGATCAGCTGACAGTCTAAAATAATTATTTACTATAGTCAGAATTGTTCGGAATTCACGGTGAATTTCATATTTTAGTCCTAAACAGCTGAACTGGAAGGAGAACAAGAAATTTTCCCTTTCAGCTACAAGTCACTGAGTTCTCAAAATTCTTAATTCTTATCGACCATTGCTGCCAATACTAATTCTTTCGCTTTATCCCAGCAGCAGAGGGGACTCTCGTTGAACATAAACTTCTTATAAATGGTTTAACACTTCAAATCAAAAGGATGGTACCAAGGGTGTCCGGATGCTTTAATGACTTCAATGAGGTGAAGTGGTCACAGTACCTCCTAGAGTGCACCTTAAAAAGCTTTCCTGAAGGAGGGGACAATGGTTATAAGATAGATAAGAAACCTGTATTTTAAACAGATTAGGTGGTCAGTTTTTCAAGAATCCACATTTGCCATTAAAGACAAGCCTGCTGCAGTCTGTATCCTAGCTTTTTCCTGCATAGAAGGGCAAAGCACATTTCATTATAGTGTGCACCCAGAAATTCTTTCCCCATGTTTATTTTTTAATTGTAGATGGTCAATATTTGATACAGTTCCACACAATAGATTAGTGTTCAATAGTGATGTCCGGAACTGTTCGCCACGGACTCATCATTAAGAAAACTTTGACCCTGTACCTCACAGTCAGCAGACACATTCCAGCCAATCAGCAGCAGACCCTCCCTCCCAGACCCTCCCACCTCCTGGACAGCATCCATTGTGAAGCTGCATTTTTAGTGAGCTGTCCAGGAGGTGGCAGGGTCTGGGAGGGAGGGTCTGCTGCTGATTGGCTGGAATGTGTCTGCTGACTGTGAGGTACAGGGTCAAAGTTTACTCAATGATGAGTCCGCGGCGAACCGCAGTGAACCGTTCGGGACATCACTAGTGTTCAAACTCAAGGAAATCGGTCTAGATGAACATGCTTGATCTTGGGTAGAACATTGGCTTAAAAACAGAGTACAAAGAGTTGTCATTAATGGTAAATTTTCAAGATGAACAGAGGTGGCAAGTGGTGTCCCTCAGAGGTCTGTTCTGGGACCCCTTCTATTTAACATGTTTATAAATGATCTTGAAGACAGCATTGAAAGTCACGTGTCAGTGTTTGCAGATGACACAATGTGAGCAAGATATTACTTTGCTGCAGAGGGATTTAGATAGACTGGGGGACTGGGCACTCAAATGACAGATGAAATTTAATGTTGAAAAATGCAAAGTTATGCACTTCTGCATAAAGAATACACAAGCAACGTATACCCTTAATGGAAGCGAATTAGGGATAACACACGAAAAGGACTTGGGAATTGTTATAGTCAAACTATGCAACAATGTACAATGTCAGTCAGCAGTGGCCAAGGCCAGTAAGGTAATGTCATGCATGAAAAAGGGCATTCATTCTCTGGACGAGAATATAATTTTGCCTCTTTATAAATCACTGGTAAGACCCCATATTGAATATGCTGTGCAATTTTGGGCACCTGTTCTAAAGAAGGATATTATGGCACTAGAAAAAGTGCAGAGGCGGGCTACAAAATTAATAAAAGGAATGGAACATATCATCTATGAAGAAAAGTTAACAAATTTAAACCTATTTAGTTTAGAAAAACGTCACCTGAGAGGGGATATGATAACATTATACAAATCTATTCGGGGCCAATACAAACCATTGTGTGGAAATCTATTCACAAACCGGACTTTACATAGGCCACGAGCCCATGCGTTTGGAAGAAAGAAAGATTTTGTCTAAGGCAAAGGAAAGGTTTTTTTACTGTAAAAACAATCAGGATGTGGAATTCTCTGCCTGAAGAAGTGGTTTTATCAGAGTCCATACAGATGTTCAAACAGCTACTAGATGCATACTTGCAAAAACAGAATATTCAAGGATATAATCTTTCAATGTAGGGTAATACCTGCTTGAACAAAGGATAAATCGGACTGCCATTCTGGGGTCAGGAAGGATTTTTTTCCTAGCTCGTTGCAAAATTGTGCTTCAAACTGGGTTTTTTGCCTTCTTTAGGATAAACAGCAAAAAACAAATGTGAGGAAGGCTGAACTTGATGGACGCAAGTCTCTTTTCAGCTATGTAACTATGTAATATTTATAAAAGGAACAATCCAAGCAATATATAACCATTATGGCCCAATGGTGCCCTCCCAGAGTAATTTGTCAAAATGTTTTAGAAGTGTTTGACAATTATCTCCACTGAGCGAGGTTGGCAGCAGGTAAACAATAAAACAGCTCCCAAAAACACAAATACAAGATTTTGCATAGTGATAAACCACATATTTTTTTGCCTTGGGGCTGTTAAAGGAACACTATAGTGGTAAGAACACAATCCTCTAGTGTCCTTGTACCTAGTCATATAGATTATTTATTAATACATCAAAAGATTTAACTTCCCTTTTTTTCCCCAGCGCTAAGGTTTCCTCAATGCTGCTCACCGCTATATCACATACTGAAATATAGCACATTGCGGTCAGTGGTGTAACAATCGTTCCAGACTGGCTGTATCGCGTATCTCATCAACACGCATAGCATGCAGACAACAGATGACCATGGTAGCATGCACCCCCACCCAGTGTCACTTTAGCCCACAATGAGTGTGTGTCACTTTGTTTTGGGGTTGGGCCCAAGGTAATTTTTTTGTTTTGGTTATTTATTTTTTCTATTTTGCCCCCACCTTTTTAGTTTTAGAGGGGGGGCACATGCAAAAACAGATTTTTGAAACACTTTATTTAGGAGTGGCAAGATAAGCATGTGCCACTTTTGTTTGGCACTGGTTCAGCAGTACACCTAGTGAAAATTGTCATGCACTGCATTATGGGAACGTTAATGTTCCACACTTACCTTTTTGTTAACTTCAGCCATTGCCAACTGCAATACCAGCATCATGTTATCTGCGCCACATACTGTAGTCCTCTCGCATTCAATCAAGAGGGAGCTGTGTCGCCTGAAGCATCTAATCAAATTCAGTACTTTTTGCTGGTGACACACCATATTCAACCTAAAGCAAAGATGACAGATTAGCAATCTCATACAAGAATGATTAATATAATACCCTTTGGGACACTATACCCCACTCCCTCTAGCATGTAAGCTCATTGAGCAGGGCCCTTAGCCCCTCTGTTACTGTGCATCCATTTGTCTAGTTACAATTACGTGTCTGTTAGCCCACGCATTGTACGGATTTTGCTGGCGCTATATATAATAAAATAATAATGCTGAAAGTTCAGTGTTCCACAGCTATAATTCAACATATTGAGAATCACAACAAAGAGGTAAAAGCAAAAAAGAGAAACCAGACTTCACTTTAGAGTAGACATGTGCAATTCGTTTCGGTCCGAATTAAAATTCGTCTGAATTTCGGGTAATTCGGACATTCGGGTGCTTCCGAATGTCTGAATAGCCGAAGTGCCGAAATTACCGAATTTCCGAAGTGTAGTAGTGCCAAAGTTCCCAGGTGCCAAAGTTCCCAGATGTCAAAGTGCCCAAGTTCCGAAAGCACAGTATTGCCTAAGTACTAATATACTTACCCAGTGGAAGAAGAAGAATGTTACACTGTATACAATTTCAAATAAAAAGTATACAAACATAGACAGGATTCAGCGGTAAGCATTGGCAACACTTACAACAATCAAGTAACACACATTCATATAAAATGTAAGTTACTTAGCCAGTCATGTAATGACAGGAATGAATAAGTAGATAACTCTAATTCCCACGGTATTAGGGAGCTATCTACTAAATTGGTCTTTCAGCCAAATTTACCAATACTAAGTAAACATTACTTAGTATTAGTAAATTATGCCCCTACTCGCTATACTGCGAGTAGGGGCATGTCTATTAAACCAGTGACCAGTAAACCACAGGCTGCTCACTGCTTAATAGACATGCCCCTACTTGCGGTATTTAGGTATTTCAGCCTTTAGGTAGAAAACCCCCTAATACCGTGGGAATTAGGTTGTTATCAACCAAGCAGCTGAAAGAAAAGTCCAGAAATGCCAGAGTTCCGAAGTTGCCGAAGTCCCAAACCGAATATTTTCCCCATGCACATGCCTACTTTAGAGCTAAGTGAGCTAATGCAAGGCTACGTGAGCACTCTCCGCCAATTACAATGGTCCTGAATCTATTCTTCATTGCTCTAAAATAAAATCTGTCTTGTCCAGTTTGTGCACAATGGATGTAACCGGTGTGATACTCTGCCCAACAGAACCCTGGTAGTTTGTCAAGCTGTTTTAGCATGGCTTAAAATCTAACTGTGGGACAATGCCGGAGCACTCCTTGTAGGCTGTAGTGGATATGGTGTCCATTTAAGACTACAAACCCCAGAAATCACTGTGGTGCAGATAAAGCACATTTGTACATTAAAGGAACACTAGAGTCACCTAAATTACTTTAGCTAAATAAAGCAGCTTTAGTGTATAGAGCATTCCCCTGCTCAATTCACTGTCATTTACGAGTTAAATCACTTTGTTTCTGTTTATGCAGCCCTAGCCACACCTCCCCTGGCTATGATTGACAGAGCCTGCATGAAAAAAAACAAAAACCTGGTTTCACTTTCAAACAGATGTAGTTTGCCTTAAATAATTGGATCTCAATCTCTAAATTGAACTTTAATCACATACAGGAGGCTCTTATAGGGTCTAGCAAGCTATTTACATAGCAGGGGATAAGAAAATCTTAATTAAACAGAACTTGCAATAAAGAAAGCCTAAATAGGGCTCTCTTTACAGGAAGTGTTTATGGAAGGCTGTGCAAGTCACATGCAGGGAGGTGTGACTAGGGTTCATAAACAAAGGGATTTAACTCCTAAATGGCAGAGGATTGAGCAGTGAGGCTGCAGGAGCATGTTCTATACACCAAAACTGCTTCATTAAGCTAAAGTTGTTCAGGTGACTATAGTGTCCCTTTAATGCATTGAATAAACTTAAAACGGCCATAGAAATATATGGGTGTGTCCTGATTGGCTGAGTTTCTTTCTGGACTATACAGAGCACATAGTACAAGCTGCAGAACCTGATGATTTACAAATGCAGTAATATCGTTATATTGGTGTGTTTTTGAATATTATAAACGTACTACTTATAGAATACAAAACAGTGGGTAAATAGCAGTGCGAATGGGGCGGGGGGCGGGAATGCTTCAGCCCCTACACACTGAACCCCCTCTACCAAGGTGTGACAAACTCCCCTTTTTACATGAGTTTGCCACAAGCTCCTGGAGAAGCCTACTTGCCAGCCTCCTACCCTGTGACAAAACTTTGTTAAAACCACTGTTCGTGCCTTTTATGACTTAAATGGTAACACTTCGAACTCCCGAAGCGGCATTTGAAAACGTGACTGTGGCCATCTTAAGCCGCGAGCACAATGAGTGGTATTTGGTAGACTAGTACATGGAACTCAAATCGGACACTCAACGTCACGAACACCGCTAACTATTTACCTTCCACGGATGTTCGGCTAGTCAAACGGGAGTCGAACGGGTCCAGTAAAACTAAACTTCCGAATGAGAGACATGAACTGAGACTACTCCCGAAGCTATACGTTTGGTATTTATTTCACTTAGTATCCCCGAAGTAGACCGACCACGCAGTCTGATTCTCTGGAACGGTTTTGGGCATGGGACCGTGCGTGCGGTCAAAATGTGACTTCCATAGAATTCCTGAACCCCTAAACTGATCTGGGTGATTTTGGGATATGTTGGTCAACCAGATCAGGCCTATCGGGGGATGTAATATTTGTGGGGATATTATGTGTTTTGGGGGTTTTATAGAAATGTGTGTTTTCTGCATGAAGATAATTGAGTAAATACAGTATCTGACTCAATTATCTCCCAGGCAGAGGGGAGGGATTGTATGTTTGTATATGGGAGTGTCGTGCATTTAAACTCTATTGTCATTGGTCTGCGACTGTGTATTGTAGTTCCCCACAAGGTCCATGTGGGAATGCCCCTTGCATGGGGACTTGCATAAGATGCCAGTTGTGGCTCCCATTGAACAGAGATTAGTTTTACCCCTTCATGAAGTCTTGGCTCATGTTTGGGGGAATGTAGAACTACATTCACTCTGGGGATAGCTATGTCACAATACTCCTCTGGGTTTAATCACTAGCTCTTATAAGAGCTGTTCCTCCTATACTATCTGGAGTAAGAGAGGTTCACCCACTGGAAGCTAGATCCTGGTCTTGGGTCCAAGGTGGGTGGAGGACGGCAAGATCCCCAATCTGCGGCGGTTTGTGGGGGTGTACGGAGGTTATTGTGTTCCAGTGCAGTGCTTATGGTGCTTGCAAGTACTAGGAAGCAGCGATTGACTGAGGGGCCCGGTCAGGGTGCCAGGCAGTCCAGCACACGGGGGTTCCCAATTAATTTTTCCCCTGGAACCCTTTGACATAGTGTATCAACACTGTGTGTACCTGTGCGCCAAAGTGTGTGTATCTGTGTTTGTATGTGCATCTGTGTGTCAGTGTGTATGAATCTGACACACAGATACACACTAGCACACAGATACACACAGAGTGTGTGTGTGTGTGTGCGCGCGCGCATGTATCTATGTGTCAAAGTGTGTGTATCTGTGTTTGTATATGCCAATGTGTGTATGTATCTGACACACAAATAAACACACACGTTGACACATACACACACACAGTGTCATACACACCACACACAGACACATACAAAACACATTGATGTATGTATACACATACATATCCAGTGTATACATACATCAATACACATTGACACATACACAAACCTTGACACACAGATACACACCCTGACACTTTCACTGACAAACACACACACACTCACTGACAAGCACACCTACATTTTCACTGACAGACATATACACTCACTGTGACAAACACACAATTTATTTCTTTTTTAAAATTTCACTCCAAGCCTCCCTCACGTGCCCTTAGTTATACTGGAGCCAGAGTCACGTCATATTCCGGTTTCGCCATCACTGCTATGCCTGCCGCGATAATTGAGGCGGGCAGCGAGGGAGCGCTCACCCCAGCTCAGTTCCCTCGCCGCGCACCTCAATTTATCGTGGCGGCCATTTTGTTTCCCAAAATTTTGGTGGTACCCCATTTGAGTTGAGGAACATCAATTGGAAAACGCTGCCCTAGAGACACACACTCTAAGCCAGTCTAAGTTGCCCCTGTCGAAGCCTTCTGTTATGAAGAATTTCAGAAAGCAGAAGGAAAGGTGGCAGGGCAGAACAGCACATGAGAATAGACTTTGGGGTTAAACCATTGGAGAACGGTTTAACCTCTTGAAGTAAAAATGACTCCAGGGTCTTCCAGGGACCATAACAACTTAATTCAAATTAAGTTGTTTTGGTACCTGAAGTGTCCCTTTAAAATAATTTTTTTCTGACTGATTATACCCTTAAAAAAAAAAAATAAAGAAAAAAAATAAAGAAAAACACAAAAAAAAAACATAAAATATTGCATAACACAATTGTATTCATGAATTTGTAAACTTTCAAGAATTGATTGTGAATTCCACATTTTTGTCTAAAACATTACAAAAACACAAACTGAAAACATAATTTTTTGAAATGTTTCCAATTCAGTAACTGTGGCCTAAAGTGTTAAACTCACTTTGGAGATTATTCACTAAATTCTAAAATGTGGCCTTGTGCAAAATTTTGACAAAATATAGCCAGGCTGTGACTTATCAGCCATTAAAAAGGGACACTATAGTAAAAAAAAAAAAAAAAAAAAAATAATCTATAAAAACACTGTTGCTTAAAGGGACTCTCCAGTGCCAGGAAAATGTTTTCCTGACACTGCAGGTCCCCTCTCCATCCCACCTCCGGTTGCTGAAGGGGTCAAAACCCCTTCAGTGACTTACCAGAGGCAGCGACGATGTCCCTCAGCGCTGCTTCTTGGTCCACCCACGCTCCTCCCGTCACCACGTCAGCCGGCCGGGGAGACTGATCACGCCCGCCGGCGGGGGGAGACCTAATGCGCATGCGTGGCAATGCTGCACACGCGCATTAGACCACCCCATAGGAAAGCATTGAAAATGCTTTCCTATGGGGATTTTAGCGACGCTGGAGGACCTCACATAGCGTGAGGACGTCCAGCGACGCTATAGCACAGAAAATCTGTGCTATAATTCCAGAAGTGCCCTCTAGTGGCAGTCTAGTAAACAGCCAATAGAGGAGGAGTTAACCCTGCAAGGTAATTATTGCAGTTTATAAAAACTGCAATACTTACAATTGCAGGGTTAAGGGTAGTGGGAGTTGGCACCCAGACAACTCCAATGGGCAGAAGTGGTCTGGGTGCCTGGAGTGTCCCTTTAACTCAGTTTTAGTCATGCCCCTGCAGTCTGCTCATATCTCTGCCATTTAGGAACCTATACAGCCCTAGACACACCACCATGCATGTTACTTAAACAGCTTTCCTAAACACTTCCTGTAAAGAGTCATCTAATATTTACACTTCCTTTATTGCAATTTTGTTTTAATTTAGAATTTCTTATCTCCTGCTCTGTTAATAGCTTGTTCGAACCTGTAGGATTCTCCTGTATATCATTAAAGTTCGATTTACAGAACAAGAGATACGAACTTTTAAAGTTGCATCTGATTGAAAGTGAAATCATTTTGTTTTCCTGTATTTTTAGGTCAGTACCTGTGTCCACTGTTCAGTTATTATATTATGTCTGTACCGTTGTACACTGTCCGGTTATTATACAAATATCAGTACCTTTGTACACTGTCCGTGCTCTCCAGTTATAGTTATTATTATGTCAGTACCTGTGTACACTGTCCATGCTCTCCAGTTATAGTAATTATTATTATTATTATTATGTCAGTACCTGTGTACACTGTCCGTGCTCTCCAGTTATTATATTATTATTGTATTATTGTCAGTACCTGTGTACACTGTCCATGCTCTCCAGTTATAGTTATTATGTCAGTACCTGTGTACACTGTCCGTGCTGTCCCGTTAGTTATTATTATAATTATTATTATGTCAGTACCTGTGTACACTGTCCGTGCTGTCCCGTAATAATAATAATAATAATAATAATTAATTATTATTATTATTGACAGTACCTGTGTACACTGTCCGTGCTCTCCCGTTATAGTTATTATTATTATTGTATATGTCAGTACCTGTGTACACTGTCCGTGCTCTCCCGTTATAGTTGTTATTATATTATGCCAGTACCTGTGTACACTGTCCGTGCTCTCCAGTTATTATTATTATGTCAGTACCTGTGTACACTGTCCGTGCTCTCCCGTTATAGTTATTATTGTATTATATTATGTCAGTACCTGTGTACACTGTCCATGCTCTCCAGTTATAGTAATTATTATTATTATTGTCAGTACCTGTGTACACTGTCCATGCTCTCCAGTTATAGTTATTATGTCAGTACCTGTGTACACTGTCCGTGCTGTCCCGTTAGTTATTATTATAATTATTATTATGTCAGTACCTGTGTACACTGTCCGTGCTGTCCCGTAATAATAATAATAATAATTAATTATTATTATTATTGACAGTACCTGTGTACACTGTCCGTACTCTCCCGTTATAGTTGTTATTATATTATGCCAGTACCTGTGTACACTGTCCGTGCTCTCCAGTTATTATTATTATTATGTCAGTACCTGTGTACACTGTCCGTGCTCTCCCGTTATAGTTATTATTGTATTATATTATGTCAGTACCTGTGTACACTGTCCATGCTCTCCAGTTATAGTAATTATTATTATTATTGTCAGTACCTGTGTACACTGTCCGTGCTGTCCAATTATAATTATTATAATTATTATTGTCAGTACCTGTGTACACTGTCCGTGCTCTCCAGTTATAGTTATTATTATTATTGTATTATTATTGTCAGTACCTGTGTACACTGTCCGTGCTGTCCAGTTATAATTATTATAATTATTATTGTCAGTACCTGTGTACACTGTCCGTGCTCTCCAGTTATAGTTATTATTGTATTATTATGTCAGTACCTGTGTACACTGTCCGTGCTCTCCCGTTATAGTAATTATAATTATTTTTATTATTAGTGTCAGTACCTGTGTACACTGTCCGTGCTCTCCAGTTATATTATTATTATTATTGTCAGTACCTATGTACACTGTCCGAGCTCTCCAGTTATAGTTAGTATTATTATTATTAGTGTCAGTACCTGTGTACACTGTCCATGCTCTCCCATTATAGTTGTTATTATATTATTATATTATGTCATTACCTGTGTATACTGTCCGTGCTCTCCCGTTATAGTTATTATAGTTATTATTATTGTCAGTACCTGTGTACACTGTCCGTGCTCTCCAGTTATAGTTATTATTGTATTATTATGTCAGTACCTGTGTACACTGTCCGTGCTCTCCCGTTATAGTAATTATAATTATTTTTATTATTAGTGTCAGTACCTGTGTACACTGTCCGTGCTCTCCAGTTATATTATTATTATTATTGTCAGTACCTATGTACACTGTCCGAGCTCTCCAGTTATAGTTAGTATTATTATTATTAGTGTCAGTACCTGTGTACACTGTCCATGCTCTCCCATTATAGTTGTTATTATATTATTATATTATGTCATTACCTGTGTATACTGTCCGTGCTCTCCCGTTATAGTTATTATAGTTATTATTATTGTCAGTACCTGTGTACACTGTCCGTGCTCTCCAGTTATATTATTATTATTATTATTATTATTATTATTATTATTATTGTCAGTACCTGTGTACACTGTCCATGCTCTCCCATTATAGTTGTTATTATATTATATTATGTCATTACCTGTGTATACTGTCCGTGCTCTCCCGTTATAGTTATTATATTATTATTATTATTATTGTCAGTACCTGTGTACACTGTCCATGCTCTCCCATTATAGTTGTTATTATATTATATTATGTCATTACCTGTGTATACTGTCCGTGCTCTCCCGTTATAGTTATTATATTATTATTATTATTATTGTCAGTACCTGTGTACACTGTCCGTGCTCTCCAGTTATAGTTATTATATTATTATTATGTCAGTACCTGTGTACACTGTCCATGCTCTCCCATTATAGTTATTATATTATTATTATTATTATTATATTATGTCAGTACCTGTGTACACAGTCCGTGCTCTCCCATTATAGTTGTTATTATATTATTATATTATGTCAGTACCTGTGTACACAGTCCGTGCTCTCCGGCAGTCTGCTCCTTTAATAAACACCCAAACGGTTCGCACAGCTGAGCACATTTAAAAAGTGTGTCAGCAGGCGCTAGTGGTCGTGACGTCACGGCTCGGCGGCAGCCCCAGCCAATCAGCTGGCGCAACCTAAAACTTGAACTGTTCGTGCTTTGCAGCGGGGGGCGGGGGCGGGGGAGGAGGTGACACTGTATGAGCGGCACGCTGGAGGGCGGGGCTCAATGATGGGGGCGGGGTTTTGTAAGCATGGGGTCAGAAGAAGACGGAACATTCTTCAACTCATTAGTAATTTGGAAAGGCGGAGTTCGGAGTGGGTGGGCGGGGTTGAGAAGTTGTGGGCGGGTATACCGCGGGGGAGGCGGGGTTCCGGAACTCGCTGAAGGATGCTGAGTTTGATAGACTAGAAAACCGGAAGTAGACAGTATTCTCCGTCTCGCGGGCCCGTGTGGTAAGATACGATTATTTTGGCGGGAAGAGATTCAGTGAGGGCCGGTGAGGGCTATAGTGAGCGTACTGACAGCTCTCTGCGGTACGAGCACACTGGGTTATAGTCACTACAGCTACCATTTATAATGTCTTAGTGTTATATCGGCTTAATTCAGACCCAATTATTATGTAATCTCGGTCACCATTTCTAATGTATAGCATTACACTCTGAGCTCTAACTCCCACTACTCCTGGGCGGCAGCAATGACTATAGTACACATCATCCCCAATACATACAATAAAGATCAAAGTTACCTGACCAATATCACAAATCCCTGTTTTAAAATTGCGTTCCTCCTCGCATCCTGTCTGGCGCCATGAATGAATGAATATCCGCTGTTCTATTACTGAATGTTTGCATTAAACGTGCTATATTCCTGAATAGATAAACGCCAGTAATAAATGTCTTAGAACAAAAAAAGTAAATATAGTGCAGATTTTATCAAACTTAGAACTATTAATATAATTATTTGTGCCCTTATTATTATTTATATAGCGCCATAAAATTCGCAAACTGTCCCAAAATCCATACCTAAAATTTATTTAAAGTTAGTGTCCGTGTTTACACTGGATAACTATCAGACGCTGGTACTTAGCAGGGAGTAGTGTTTATAAAAAATCAACTTGCGGTCTCTTAAAACTCTCAGCCCTTCTGGAAAAGTCTCCCCTTTGATGCGCTGATCTAGCGAAACGTACGTCAGGGGCTCTGGGGCATTGCTGTGTCCACAATATTTGTTTGCAGCAATTTCTGGCTTTTAGGAACAACTCTTTTTAATTTGTTCCGTGTTTTGGCATCTTTCTCTTCATCTTTTTATTTTGTATTTTCATTTATCTCTAGAGCGGGTGGATTATATTGCATTTCAAACTAGGGTCATTTTAGGGGTAAGGGATCGAAGGCACAATAGGGACAGTATTCTTGTTGATCCCTTTCCCTCTCTATCCTACCCTGTTCTACATCTGATATTACTGCAGGAGTTTCTACCTCCAGCGTTAGACACTTCACTAAACAGACATCTACACTTTCCTAACCACAGAAGCTGTTAGCTACTTTTGTTATACCTTTGGCTACATCCCTGAAGCTACTGAGATACATAGATGCCAAAGCAGAGTCAGAATTATCATTATTAAAGGACCACTATAGTGCCAGGAAAACATACTTGTTTTCCTGGCACTATAGTGTCCTGAGGGTGCCCCACCCTCAGGGTCCCCCTCCCGTCTGGCTCTGGGGAGAGGAAGGGGTTAAAACTTATCTTTTTTTTCCAGCTCCGGGCAGGCTGTCTGTAATGACAGGTGGTCCCCCTGTTGGCTGAAAATAAAAATAAAATAAATTTAAAGTGTAAAAAAAAAAAAAAATGTATACTTAGATTATATATATATATATATATATATATATATATATATATATATATATATATATATTCAAATTACAGGTAGACTGATACTGATTAAATATATATATAATTATTGTTATATATATTTATATATAATATAAAAAAATTAAATATGTAAATACGTTAAAAAATTAAATAAAAATTAAAAAATACATGTGTTATTTCGTTCTAACTGTATTGTGATATTAATATATATATTTATATCAAAATACACGTAGAACGAAATAATATATATATCTACATACATAAATATATACGTATATATCACTATATATATACCTATATATAAATAAAATAATTTTTTTTAAATTATATATATACACATATAGATTCACATACGTATATATATATATATATATATATATATATATATTATTCTACATATATATTTATGTAATATTTTTACATAATTAGGTATCTTAATTAATTACAATTAGCGGGACCTGCCTGACAACCCATGCCAAAGTAAAGGAAATTTAATTTGCTAGCACTATATTTAACCCTATAACTTTCCAAGACACCATAAAACCTGTACATGGGGGGTAGTGTTCTACTCGGGAGACTTCGCTGAACACAAATATTAGTGTTTCAAAACAGTAAAGTGTATTACAACGATGATATCGCCAGTAAAAGTGAAGTTTTTTGCCTTTTTCATGCACAAACAGCACTTACACGGATGATATTATTGCTATGATACTTTTTACTGTTTTGAAACACAAATATTTGTGTTCAGCGAAGTCTCCCGAGTACAACAGTACCCCTCATGTACAGGTTTTATGGTGTTTTCAAAAGTTACAGCGTCAAATATAAGGCTTGCGTTTCATTTTTTTCACATTAAAATTTGCCAGATTGGTTATGGTGCCTTTGAGACTCTATGGTAGCCCAAGAATGAAAATTACCCCTATGATGGCATACCATTTGCAATAGTAGACAACCCAAGGTATTGCAAACGGGGTATGTCCAGTCTTTTTTAGTAGCCACTTAGTCACAAACACTGGCCAAAATTGGCGGTTTTTGCATTTTTCACACAAACAAATACTAACGCTATCTTTGGCCAGTGTTTGTGACCAAATGGCTACTAAAAAAGACTGGACATACCCCATTTGCAATACCTTGGGTTGTCTACTATTGCAAATGGTATGCCATTATGGGTGTAAATTTCATTCCTGGGCTACTATAAAGTCCCAAAGGCAACGTAACCAATCTGGCGAATTTCAATTTCAAATGTAACGTGCTATATTTGACCCTGTAACTTCCCAAAACGCCATAAAACCTGTACATAGGGGGTACTGTTTTACACGTGAGACTTTGCTGAATACAAATATGTGTATTTTATTGCAGTAAAAGCAAACAGTATTATGAAATTGACAGTTAAAATGTCATGTAGAACTAAAAAAAATCTTATTTTCTCCCATTTATTTTCATATTAAATTATGTTTCATAGCTAAATATTTGATAAAAATGAAAGACCTGTTTCCCCTGAATAAAATGATATATAATAAGGGTGGGTAAATTTAATATGAAAGAGGTGAATTACGGTTGGACAGACATGTAGCTCAAATGCCAGGTTTTGTTTACATTTTGTTTAGTTCACAACGTGTACATTTGGCTCCGTCCTTATGGGGTTAAACCACTTTTTTAGGGGTACTTACTACCTTACCTGCAGTGTGGACCAGTTTCTGCTATTTTTAACATTGTTTTGTACATGTGTGTATAGTACTATTAGTTTTGTGTTGTAGTTGGTCTCTTCTGTCCTTTGAAACTTTTTAGTGATTAATACTCTTATTAAAAGTTATGTTTTGTTTCAGACATATTTTGTTTCATTGACAGCCGCTAGAGGCGCTTCCGCGCTTCTCCCTGTGATTTTTCACAGTGAGAAGACGCTGCCGTCCATATTAAAACATTGAGAAATGCTTTCCTATGGACTCATTGAATGTGCGCACGGCTCTTGCCGCGGATGACGTCAGAATGGGAGGAGAGTCCCCAGCGCCGAAGGAAGCCTGGCGATGGAGAAAGGTAATCATTTAACCCCACCTGAGCCCTGCGGAAGGGGGGCCTTGAGGGTGGGGGGGACCCTATAGTGCCAGGAAAACAAGTTTGTTTTCCTGGCACTATAGTGGTCCTTTAAACCTGGTTTAGGTCATTGGGCCATGAATGTCCTCCATGGCTCCAGTGTGACCTGCTGAACCACTTAAACATGGTTGGACACTTACTTGGAACAAGACATTTACTTAGAGCTGAAGAAGTTGTCAGTTGTGTTTAGTAGGAGATCTTATTTGACTAATTCATTGACTGAGAGTACTCTGCTGAGACTCTCAACCACGGATTAATTATATTGGCAACTAATTTCACCACCTCAAGAAGACCAAATGTAGCATGGATGCCCACCGGGATCTGACAGCAGGGGGACTGTCTGAGATGTCAGACAGTCCCCCTGCTGGTGTAAAGTGTAAACATATATGTGTATGTATGTGTGTGTGTATATGTATGTGTGTGTGTATGTATATATGTGTATATATATATATGTGTAACGTCATACATAGTGTATTTTAATATTAATATAAGTACATATATTAGTATTAAAATACACTTAGAATGACGTTATATATATATATATATATATATACACATGTGTATAATTACAATAATAAATAAATAAAATATTGAAACAAAATCTAATATAAATTATATATTCATATGTAATTTCATTCTAACTGTATTTTGTTATTAATATATATATATATATATATATATATATGTGTATGTAACAAAATACACTTAGAATGACATTCTATAAATATCTATCTATATGTAAAATACAAATAACCGCAAATAAATATATATATATTTGTGTTCGGGGCAAATAGCCGTATATGGAGTAAGGTTCCAGCATAAGTGTATATATATTAAAATTCTACATGTATAATTAATCTTTTAACATAATTATGTGATTTGATTGACATGCCTGACACAGGGAGAAAGTGCAGAGAATTTAATTCGCAAGCACTATATTTGACCCTGTAACTCTCCAAGACACCAAAAAAACCTGTACAATGGGGGTACTGTTTTACTCAGGAGACTTCGCTGAACTCAAATATTAGTGTTTCAAACTGGTAAATTGTATTACAACAATCATATTTTAAGTAAAAGTGAAGTTTTTTGCATTTTTTATGGACTATATTATTGTTGTAATATGTTTTACTGTTTTAAAACACTAATATTTGTGTTTAGTGAAGTCTCCCGAGAATAACATTACCCCCCATGTACAGGTTTTATGGTGTTTTGGAAAGTTAGAGAGTCCCATGTAAGTAAGGCTTGCATTTAATTTTTTTGACATTGAAATTTGCCAGATTGGTTATGTTGCCTTTGAGAGCGTATGGTAGCCCAGGCATGAGAATTACCCCCATGATGGCATACCATTTGCAAAAGTAGACAACCCAAGGTATTGCAAGTGGGGTATGTCCAGTCTTTCTTAGTAGCCATTTAGTCACAAACACTGGCCAAATATTAGTTTTTTGCTTTTTTTCACACAAAAACAAATATGAACGCTAACTTTGGCCAGTGTTTGTGACTAAGTGGCTACTAAAAAAGACCAAACGTACCCCACTTTCAATACATTGGCTTGTCTACTTTTTCAAATGGTATGCCATTATGGGGGTAATTCTCATTCCTGGGCTACCACACACGTCTCAAAGGTAACATTACTAATCTGGCAAATTTGAAAATGGAACATTCTATATTTGACCCTGTAACTTTCCAAAACACCATAAGACCTCTTAATGGGGGGTACTGTTGTACTCGTGAGACATCGCTGATTACAAATATGTGCATTTTTTTGCAGTAAAACCTAACAGTATTATGACATTCACAGCTAAAATGTCAGACGGAAAATCAAATTTAAAAAAAAAAAATCGTATTTTCTCACATTTTTTTAAAATTTTATTCATAATAAATTATGTTCCATATATGATTAGTTAACGATAAATTAAAGCCCTGTTTCTCCTGAACAAAATGATATATAATAAGTGTGGGTGCACTTAATGTGACAGCTGTGAATTACGGTTGAACAGACATAGCGCAAATTCCATTTTTTGTTTACGTTTTGGTTTGATCAGAACATGTACATTTGGCTCAGTCCTTAAGGGGTTAAGATACAGTTGTTTTTGGTGACTACAGTGTCTCTTTTAAGTGCATTTTAGGCTTCACTGGGTTACTATTTGCCTAGCACCTCATGTTCCTTAAGTTTTTTTTTTTTTTTTTTTTTGGCAATTTGTTTTCATGCAGGCTGTGTCAGTCACAGTCAGTGGAGGTGTGGCTAGGGCTGTGTTAACCAAAAAAAAAGAGATTTAACAAAAAAATGGTAGTGAATTGAGCAGTGAAACTTCAGAGTCATGATCTATACACAAAAACTGCTTCAATAAACTAAAGTTCTTTTGGTGACTATAGTGTCCCTTTAGGTTATGTGTCTTCTATCCAGTGCTTGCTAGCCAACAACCACAGTAAAAATTTATAAAATGTACATTTCCTCCCTTATGCCCCTGCTCTGCTGCCTTTGCAGTCAGTTTTGCCCAATCCAGACATTTGTTATATCTCATGAACTGTGTATAGATTTTGCAGTCTAAATGCCCCTGTACTGAACCATGGCCATTTGGAATGTAGTTAATAATCCCCTTTGTGTGTACCGGTACATAGAAAGCAAAAATAAAATGTACATATCCTTATTCTTTAGAAATAAATGCATTGTTTTAGGCTTTTTCTTTTTAATTCAAAGTAGAAGTAGTTTTTTTTATTCTTTGTAATATGGTACACCTTTGTGCCTGTCCTATAAATAAACTGACAAGACACAAAAGTCATGTACAGAGATTCCCGCCCTTGTAAATAAGGAAGCATTTAAATTATAAATAAACAAAAAAGAAATCTAAAAAGTTTGCACAGTACACCATCTAGACAGGCTCTAATAAGATTACAATGTGCTTATAACTAGCTGTCAACCGTGGCATTGTTTTGTACGAGTGTGATTGCGTAACATCCAGAGCGTTGGAGCCTGTGTTGCAACTGGTCAAATAAAATCTTAGATTAAATAAATGTAAATAGTTGGAGGGTGGGGTAGGGAAAAACAGGTGCTGCCTCTGCCCAATCATAAACTTTCTCTTGCATTGCATTTTATGGAAGGTCATACTGCCTAGCCCAGATTTTCTGGAAAGTAGTAGCTGTGCCGCCCCTCACAGCAACCACAAACTAATCCATTATCGTATTGTGTTCTATAACAGAATTAACTAATCTAAGTTAGATCACATCGTGCTTAAGCCACATGGTCACCAGCAACTGCCTGGCAGCTAAAATGATTTTATCGTTACGTTTTTGCTCATGCCTGAACAGACCTTTCACTAATCTAAAAAGAAAAAAGGGCAAGGGTCAATTTCCATTTTGGTCTCTGGAACACTTTATCTAGTAATGATTTAATTTGTCGTAAAAACCTGCATAACCTTAGGGTACTCCCACCACATATGAACATAGGATCCCCTGTAACACAGATCACTGGGGATTTTGCCTATTTTAAATAGTTTGACTGGGGTAGTATACCATCTGTGTATTATTTTCTGCACATGTTCGTGCAGGGATATAGATATAAAGGCTGCGGTCTCCTAGATGGTTTTCTATACCTCCGCCTCCTGGGTCTTCCTCCCACTGCCGAATATGTGCTAAGTGTACCCACAGTCGAGATTTAGAGCATGTGGTTATACATTAGAAATCAATACTTTTTTTGGGCAACTTCTCCTTCACATAATTGTTCAAACATCGGAAACTATTTTGGCTGCTATTTTAACGTCTTCTCTAGCTGCAAAGTCTCAAAGTTTTATGGAAAAATAATCCCTTGTGGTTATAAGGACTGTCCCAGACAATTCCCTGAGGTTTGTCCCCCTCCCCCTGTCTACAAATGGTAGTTCCTTTGAATTCCTGCTTCCTCTATGTTTTTAAAATCCCTAGCATCGATGCCCAGGGGGAAATCCATATTCCAAAAGTATGGGGCCATTAGGGGGGAGGGGTATCAGACAAAACAAATTTAGTCCTAAGTCTATAACATAAAGAAATGGAATTCGGTATGGCCGGATATTGAATACTCAAAATTGCTCTTTGCTTTTTACCGAACATATATAGAACTGTTGGAGGTCCAACCCTAATAGAGAATATTCATGGTCCACCCATCACCTCAACCCATGTAGAGAGTGCCACATTACAACCTGAGTCAACTGAGCTGTGCAGTCGTGCATGACTAAACACGAGAGCCGCAGTACCCCCCTGTCTAGGCCTGTACAGTAGTTTCCTGGCAATCCGATGCCTCCTAATATTCCAAACAAGCTGATCTATACTCCTCTATAGGCTGGCTAGATCATGATTAGAAACCACAAACGGGAGGGCTTGGGGAAAAAAAAATAAGAAATAGATTTCTCTCCCCAAGATTCCATATTTTTTATTTTATTTTTTGACAATCTTTATTTTGACTTTTAGCATCGGTACAGTGTGTCGATTCTTGAACAGAGTAAGGTACAAAATATCAACTTATAAGAGGTATAACATCTAACAGGATAGAAACAGTACATGCACACAAAAAACCACGGGGGATCTTAAAACAGCTGACCTATACTAATGGGTGAGACCCAGATAATGGCATGGTGATGGAAGGCCGGGTCTGTCACGCACTATGATCAGGTGCGGTGGTCAGTGTCTCTCTAGTGACCTCTTCTGGTGTAAGGCAGTCAAGAACGTGGCTCCCTGTCTTGTGAGAGCGTATCAGTAAGTCGACGTAGTCACGGTCAGTTGTCCGGGGAGTTAAACCGGGATCATTGTCCAGTTTGTCAGAGGCCCGCTCATGGTTACACTAACAAATGTCTGCGGCCAAGGGGGTCATCAGAGAGGTCGGGTCTCAGTCAGCCGTCCGGCTATCGTTCAGGAGCTGTTGGTTGAGAGGGAGGGGGAAGTGGGGGGGGGAAGAGGCTCCCGGCTCCCAGCCCCACCCGCCGAGAGGTACCACAGCCAGGGCGTCCAAGTGCGAGCACATTTCTCTTGCCTATCATACAACGCTGCTGTAAGGGATTCCATACTATATAGTTCCCCCACCTTGTTGATCCACTGCTGGAGTGTGGGCGCATCCTTGTGTCTCCACCTTGTAGGGACCAGTGCAATGGCTGCCGTTAGTAGGTGTTTTATCAGAGATTTCTTGTATACTGAAAGGGTCATGTCAGTGTGATGGAGGATCATGGTGAGGGGTTGTAGTGGAAGGGCAATATCTGTGATTTGCTCAATGGTCTCTTGGATCGTGGTCCAGAAGGGGGCGATACCCGGGCAGCTCCACCAGATGTGGAGGGAGGAGCCATCGGCATCGCCACATCTCCAACAATCCCCGGGTATCTCAGGGTTTATACGGTGCAGAATGTCTGGGGTTCTATACCAGTGCGTGAAGACCTTAAAGCTGGTCTCCTGAAGTTTGGAGCTGATGGAACACTTATGTGTTAGAATAAAAATCTTGTCCCAGTCCTGGTCTGTGAGCGTGGTTCCTGCCTCTCTCTCCCATCTAGTAATGTATCTTGGGTGCGACGGGTTTTCTCCATTAGCGAGAAGTGTGTAAAGTGTGGAAACGCCCCTCATAGGGTGAGCCCTTGCGGTGCAGAGTGTTTCGAACTGCGTGTGGATTCTGTGGAGGCCCTGTTTGTTTGGGAAGGTCGCGTAGTATGCCCGTATTCGGAGATAGTGGAAGTGGTCTAGGCCTGTGGGTACTGTGTCCCCCAGGATGTCTGTCAGAGGCTTGAGTCGGTCCCTCTGTATTATATGATGGAAACTAATCCAGTCGGAGTCAGGGTATGCGTGTAGGTCCGCAGGCGTTAGTCCCCCTCCAACCCCCGGATTGTGTGTGATGGGCGTGAGAGGGCCATCCAAGGTGGAAAGTTGATGCGAGTACCGCACCGTACACCAGACTCGTAGCGTTGCGTCAATCATTGGATTGCCTGTAAGCAGTGCATTTTGTGCGAGGGATCCAAGTCACAGGCGGGAGGGAAGGGTTCCGCCCGTCTGAGCTAGTTCCAGGGGGAACCATAACTTGGCCGTGTGGCGTACGTGCCAGTCCACAGTCCTAAGTAAGTGGGAGGCATGGTAGTATCCCAGGAAGGAGGGGAGACCAGCTCCCCCACGGGCTTTGGGGCGTTCTAGGAGCACTTTGCTCACCCTACTCGCTTTCCCGTTCCACACGAATTGCCGGATCGCCTTGGAGAGAGATTGGAAAAAGGCTCTTGGTATGGAGATGGGTATCGTTTGGAACAGGAATAGGAGACGCGGTAAAACATTCATTTTAACGCCATTGATCCGGCCGACATATTTTGTTTTTAAAGGGACCTCTAAAGTGCTTTATCTTCTGAAAAGCTTTGTGTGAAGTGTGTCCTATAATTTTATTTTGCAAACAGTGCAGATTACAATAGAAATTGAAACTTTTTTAAATTAACCTGGTTACACCCCCTTGGCTTTCAAGCAGACAACAGGTCCTGTTACCTCCTGGTTTGGGTAGTTCATTAGAGCTAAACTCAAGAGGCAGCAATTGCGCATAATTACATGCTTGCCTGTTTTCATTTGGAGTATATCTACTAAACAGTGACTTAAAAAAAAAAATTTGTTGTGGGTAGTGGAGCGTAGTGGGGTATAGTTAGCCAGCAATAAGGATATGGGAAATCTTTTATTTTTGTTATTTTTTGGCGAGTGCATAATTATAAACTTACAGTATATGTTGTACAAGGGCATTCTATGGAGAGTTGACTGAGTTGACTCTGACAGATGTAACCCTATAAATGCCAACACTGCAAAGTTTTGTCTACAAAAAAAAAGAATCTGTTCTCTGTGCATTAGATAAGGTATATAGTTATATATGACAGAGCATAGAGAATAGTTCCAGTCAATGATATCAGGTAAACATTTTATTAAAGTAATTTTGAAGGTTCATAATATTTTTGTCCTTATAACACTTGTTCATTAATCTGTTTTCCTGTCTTCTTTCAGTTTAATGAATCCGTTGTAGTAATCCTTTGCATTAGAAAATGAAACAAGATTCAGTGAGGAGTGCTAGCTACACAGTTGACTGTGCAGATTATATACATGTGGTTGAATTTAACCCCTTTGAATCTGGAGAAGAAGGGTCATTAATTGCATTTGGTGGCAACAATTATGTCAGTATTGCTTCATGCAGGTTCCAGGTAGGTGCAAAATGTTATTTATATTTTTGTTTTCTAATGGACTTTTGTTTTAGAAATATTGCATTCTAACTTGATTTGTGTACTGTAGAAAGTATTGGTTTGTCTAAATGAATTCAGACAATTTTGGTTTTTTTGTTTCTACAAAACCATTTTTGAACAGTTTTTTTTTTTTTTTTTTTTTATGGAGAAGTAATGTCTTCAGATACCCCTCAATTGCTTCTCTTTGCTAGGCAACTATTGCAGATGTATTAGGTTGAGCATTAGGTGGCAATCTCAGCCTATAACTGGCTACCATTGGTGAGTAAATGTATTTACATTTTGTAATATACTCCATGAAGGCAACCAGTGATGTTTCTAAGTTAGCACAGCAGCAAAGCAAAGGCCTACTAGGGGACTCCTGATGGCTTAATTTGTTTATGTAGCATTAAACATTTGTTTAGTTCATATTTTTTGGTTCTAGAAATATGTAATTACTGGCTATAATAATAACCAGTAATGTATTCTTATGCATGAAAAATCTATAATATATTTTAAATATTAGATTTTGTTGACTTGGTCTAAGGCCACTGCAAGAGCACAAAACCCATTGGTGATTGTGACTTAAAGGACCACTCTAGGCACCCAGACCACTTCAGCTTTATGAAGTGGTCTGGGTGCCAGGTCCAGCTAGGTTTAACCCTTTTTTTTATAAACATAGCAGTTTCAGAGAAACTGCTATGTTTATACTGAGGGTTAATCCAGCCTCCAGAGCCTCTAGTGGCTGTCTCATTGACAGCCGCTAGAGGCGCTTGCGTGCTTCTCACTGTGAAAATCACAGTGAAAGCACGCAAGCGTCCATAGGAAAGCATTGTAAATGCTTTCCTATGCGACCGGCTGAATGCGTGCGCGGCTCCTGCCGCGCATGCGCATTCAGCCGATGACGTTGCGAGCAAGGAGGAGTACAGCTCCCCGCCCGGCGCTGGAGAAAGGTAAGTGTAAAACCCCTACCTTTCCCCAGAGCCCGGCGGGTGACTTTAGCAACCATGTGAATCCTGTTTTATGGAAAATGGCTAGCCCTTAATGAATCTGATTGCCACTCGGTTTTGGGGTTTTTGTTTTTTTTTGGCCTTAGTTTGACCAAAAGAATGAATAAATATGCATTCAGAAAAATTATTAAAGGGGACTGGATACTACATCACTGAACACAACTTTTAAACACACCTATAACTTATAGCAGGGGTTCCCAATACTTATTTTTTCTGTGGAACCCTTTGACATAGTGTGCCAACATCGTGGAACCGCCCAAAACAATTTGCACCACAACACATTTTAATTAGCACAGACATATACACACACTGGCGCATACACACACAGATAAAAAACACAGACATAAACACACACTAGCACATACACTCAGATAAACACTGACACAGATGTACAATCACTGGCACATACACACACTGGCACACAGATACACACGTAATTTTTTATATTTGCAGTAACCCTCCTGTTAGTATACCAGTTGTCTGCAGGAGGGTGACTTGCTGGCTGAGGTTGGTGTGTGTGTGTGTGATGGAAGTCTCTCTCCCTTCAGCGCAGTGTTCTCTATATGAAGCATGAAGGAAGTGACCATCCATCAATTCCTCCCAGCATCCCATACTACGAGGGCCGCAATACCCATCGGGTGACCCTAGGTGCAACACCAATTGGAAAATATTAAAGGAATATTACAGGGTCAGGAACACAAACGTGTATTATTAATCCTATAGTTTTAAAACCACCATTTAGGTGTCTTGCTTCCCCCACTTAAGTTAAAGGATCACTATAGGGTCAGGAACACAAACATGTATTCCTGACCCTATAGTATTAACACCACCATCTAGCCCCCCTGAGCTGCTTATGCCTCCATAAATATAGTAAAAATCTTACTGTATTCAAACCTGAAACTGTAACTCTGCATGCTATTAGACTTAAAAAACCAAGCAGACTGCTGACATGTGGTAGCCTGATCCAATCACAGTGCTTCCCCATAGGATTGGCTGAGACTGACAAAGGGGCAGATCCAGCATGATTCAAACACAGCCCTGGCCAATCAGCATCTCCTCATAGAGATGAATTAAATCAATGAAACTCTATGAGGAATGTTCAGTGTCTACATGCAGAGGGAGGAGATACTGAATGTTTGGAAGCATTTTAGGTATCCATGACCCAAGAAGGATCTCTAACAGCTATCTGAGGAGTGGCCAGTGAAGTTATCACTAGGCTGTAATGTACACACTGCATTTTCTCTAAAAATACAATGTTTACAGCAAAAGGCCTGAAGGTAATGATTCTACTCACCAGAACAAATTCAATAAGCTGTAGTTGTTCTGGTGACTAGTGTCCCTTTAATAAAACTCAGCTTATTACGCTGGATATAAGTTATAACATTTAACATCCTGTGAAGTGAGTTCCCCTTTAAGAAATGGAACAGTCGGTATAAATGCTTATAAATGGATTGCCACCCAATCTTCAAGTAGAGATTGGCACTACATGTATTGTGTAGATGGATCCTTGCTTCAGAATTGGGTTTCACATAAATTTTAATTATGCAGAAAATCCCAAATGATTTCTTTAGAAGGGTATGCAAAGTTTCAATGAAAACATATTGACCTTATGCTTCCGTTCTTAATTTATTTAACTTCAAAGCCAAAAAGAGAAAGAACACAGTCTGCACATATGTTTGAAATATTAATTTAGAAGGGAACACAGCCTTCTTTTAATTGTTCATTTTGTTTAATTTAAATGTCTGTCAAGCATTGCACCTGTTAGTGGCTTTCTGGAATTTTGACCTATTTATTAAATTCAGATTGCAGCCCTATAAGTCAGAGTTTATAAAAAAATAAATAATACATCAGTGCCTGGTCAGAAGGACAAGTAGCAAAGAATATGCAGTACTTTTTAACTTAAATGAACACTACAGTGTCAGGAACACAAACATGTATTCCTGACACTATCATGTATAAATAACTATTAAAGGGACACTATAGGGTCAGGAACATAAAACATGTATTCCTGAACTATAGTGTAAAAACACCATCTATCCCTAAATACAGAAAAAACTTTCCTTTAGTTCAGTCTGCTGCTGCTGGCTCTGCCCCGGATCTGCCTCCTTGGCTGACATCATCAGAAGTTATGATCTGAGCCAATCACAATGCTTTCCCAGAGGAGAGCATTGGATTGGCTGAGCTTATGAAGGAGTCAGATTAGTGGCAGAGCCAGCACAAACCAAACACAGCCCTGGCCAATCAGCATCTCCTCAATGCACCTCTATGAGGAAGGTTTAGTTTCTACATGCAGAGGGTAGAGTAACTGAATGTCATGCCCCAGAAAGCACCTCTAGTAGCCATCTGATGAGTGGCCAATGGATGTATCCCTAGGCTGTGATGTAAACACTGCCTTCTCTCTGATAAAACAGTGTTGTTTGTGAAAATCCTGAAGGAACTGATTGTACTCGCCAGAACAAATACAATAAGCTGTAGATGTGACTATAGTGTCCATTAAAGAAAACTGGCTTTACTCTGTACAGTAAACGGCTATTTAAACTCCCTTTTTTTTTTTTTTCACACCACGTCTGTTTTGCGTGGCTTGTTCTGCTTGGCTGATATAATCCACCTACCTGGCTGATATAATCAAGACTCACCATAGGAAAGCATTGGGAGACTATTGTGCATGCATGGCAAAACTCCATGCTGTTCCTATCCGCATCTTCTCGTAGAGATGCATTAAATCAATGCATCTCTATGGTGAATGTTTAGCTCCTCCACGCAGAGCGTTGAGATGCTGAACGACAGTGCAGCACGGAAATACAGTTCAAATTAAAATTATTCACTCTCCATTGAAAATCCAGTTTATTGTCAAAATATATGGACTTTCAGCTGTTTGCAATTAACAAATCAAATAAAAGCAATTGAAAAATCTCAACACGACGAATGCTTCAGGTGGTTTCCCCAAATTCAACTGAAAATGCAACTTATTAAAGTTCTCCAAATATGCAAAATGTGTTGTCTAAAGCATGTTTTGTCTATTGAACTAATCAAGGGCACCTCCCAGAAGATGAGGCCCCACCAGTCAGGAGCATCTCATTGTGTTCTTTTAGATGTGTCCTGCAGGGGCTTACGCGATTCATATGTTTGCACCAACTTTTAGTGTTCAAAATAAACAGTGCATTTGAGATAAATTATGTATTTTTGATGTTACATTACTGCTAGTTGGGCATTCTTTTTTGCAGTTCTAAATGTTAATATTATTTACCATTTTTTGTCCAGGAGGATGATGCTTCAGTGAGTGGTATAGAATTTAAGACGCTGAAAACATTTAACCAAGGCATAAGAGCGGACGCTATAGCCTGGAGTCCAGACACAAACTATGATTCTTTAACTCCTCTTTTAAGGTATGTATTTGTCCACTTATTAGACTCCTAAACCACATTTATGTCTGCTTTATCTAAGAGTAATAAAAATGTCTTGCAACCAAGAATTACCCCAAAACTATTTTTTATGCACATTATTTGTCAATATAATATTAAGAGATGTTTGCATTATACTCCATCCATACCAAGAAGTGACTGACATTTTTCATTACACACACAAAATCCTCAGAGAAACAAAAAGAAAAGGATGTAATGTCCTTAGGATTGTATAAAGTAATTCCTATTTATGTTTCCCTACTTTGCTATAAGCTACAAAAATCTTACAAGGAGGTAGTACACCATTTCCAGTATTGTACCTGGTAGCCCAAAAAACACCACACCGTCTTCACTTGTCACCATTACAAGGGAAATTCTGATACTTGGCCTTGCTAAAGGTTATTAGCATTACCAAGCTGTAGTAATGCACCCTCAAAGATACACAGGAGCTATAATCTTACATACTTACCTAGAATTACCCGCAGAAAGAAATGTGCAACTAGATGTATGAGGGCTGTTCTGACAGATACGGATCAGCTGGTGAAGCTTACATACAAATAAAAATTAAAACAAAAAGAAAGTCCATAATTAAAGGGTTACTCCAAGCACCACGACCCTTTCAGTGATTTGAAGTGGTCATGGTGCCTGAACTCTGTATGTGCAGTGTAACTCCACTTCTAACAGTGCCATTAGGGTGTCATGAGCCAGCCTGGAACAAGAGTTTGGGGCTAGCTAATATTAATTTTGTTCATATTTGGGCATCTTTCCTCAGTACACACTACTGCGTGCCCCACCACCACTTTATTTTTTATTTTTTTGAATGGGACGGGTCAATGTAATCAAGGGTTACTCTGACCGTAAATTGCTTGTTTTATTAAAACACTTTTTTTGTTTGTTTTGGCGTAACCCTTTGAAGAAATTCAAAGATATATATATATATATATATATATATATATATATATATATATATATATATATATATATTAAAATGAGTAAAATAGAAACAAATATATATTAAGAAAAGTTAAACACAAAGGACAAGATTTAAATGAAGACCTCTATAAGCCCGACTATTAACACTTAATTTTCCATTCTTCCAGAGCTAAAATAGAACAGCACATCCTATTCTTAGCAATTTATGAGATTTCTACTTACATGCAGTCTTATCTGTTTTTTATGAGATTTTACATAATGTAGCAAATCAATGACAGTTTAAAACTTAGCTGCTTTAATCAAGACGGCAGCCTCTAACACTTCCACTTCTTCTACCCATAAGTAGCAGTATGATATTACAATGCAGAAAAAAGACTGCATCTGGTTGGCTTTAGTCTTAATGATACATGCTGAGTGATACTGTCTGTTGCTTCATGTTTGATTACAATTGAGATTTAACGCCAATTTGATGCATTCTATTGTGGTATCTATCTTTCAGGCTTTTTCTATGGCAGTACCTTGGCTCATGTTTCCTTTCTTTTTTTATTTCTCTATGTATCATGGTAATTTTTTAGTGTCTTGAAGATAAATGTACGCTTGTTTTACATGTGCTCAAAGGCTCTTTGTAATGCAGGTTTTGTACTGCAGCTAGTGATAAAAATCTACGAATCTTCACTTCAGACCTTCAGGACAAAAATGAATTTAAGGTACGCATTATATTATGTTTTGTTTAAAGGCATACTCTGCACGATCTGTATTCATTATAAACTTGGCAAGGAAAAGAAACTTGCAGAATTTATCCAGAGGATACTAGCTACATTGGCAAAAGACTCCATAAAGGGACACTATAGTCACCAAAACAACTTTAGCTTAATGAAGCAGTCGTGGTCTACATATCATGCCCCTGCACTCTCCCTGCTCAATTCTGTGCCAATTAGGAGTTAAATCACTTTGTTAATGCAGCCCTAGCCACACCTCCCTGCAAATGACTTACACAGCCTTCCTAAACACGGCCTGTTAAAGAGTCATCTAACGATTACACTTTATTGTAGGGATCGACCAATATTGATTTTTTAGAGCCGATACAGATATTCTGTGAACTTTCAGCCCGATAGCCGATAACTTACCGATATTCTGTACATTTACCATTTTGAAAAAAAATACTTTTTCTAAAGGTAAATGCACAAAATATACATGCCATGTGTAGTGGATGCAGTGTGTATTTGTGTAGTGGATGCAGTGTGTATTTGTGTAGTGTGTATATAATGAATGCAGAGTGTTTTTGCAGTGTGTATGGTGAATGCAGTGTGTGGGTAGTGTGTGTAAAGTGAATGCTGTATATACTAAATGCGAAGTGTGTGTATTTGTGTAGTGTGTGTATATAGTGAATGCAGTGTGTTTATTTGCATAGTGCGTGTATATAATGCAGTGTGTTTGTGTAGTGTGCATTATATAAACACACTGCATTATATACACACTACACAAACACACTGCATTTGTAACGGCACCCCAGGCATAAAAGGGGTTAAACCGCCGTTTAGAAGATCTTCCCCTTCCAGATACACAGGCAGCTACCAAAGACACCAATCCGCCGAACAGGAAACCATATGAATGCCGTAAACCGCCGAACCGGAATCATACGAATGTTGTAAACAGCCGAATAGGAAAAACCATACGAATAGGTTTACACTCCTAGCAGTCAAATTGGAACAGCATACAATAAATCCCTCCAAGAACGAGACACGGCTCCGTGTTGAGGGTCAAGCAGGAACAGACAGAGCTGTGGGTATATTGTTCTTATATACACATTCTTAAACATTAGTACCACCCACAGGGTTTTGGAAAACAACCAATAAACACGTACAATACACTCAGACACTGCCACACAAAAATCTCCCCTCTGCCTGTGATACAATTACCTTACACAATGGGTAATGTAATTATCACAGGCAGAGAAATACAGTTTTTCCACATTATTCATAATTTTAAAAGTATGCATCACATAAAACTTACATTTTCAGAATCAGCATACTCCACATACAAACATATGTCAAAATCATACAAATTGGTCCAGTGGTTCAAAAGATAGATCGCAGTCCTTTTGTGACCAAATGAAGCATGGCTTTTCTGCCCAGAACCAGTTCCACAGAGTCTTCTATCCTGGAGATAATTGGGAAGTAATCAAATTATCTCCAAAGACAGAGGCAAAACTCCATTAAGCACATGGCAGTAAAATACAATAAAATACAGAAGGTTACATTTATTACATAAAATACAGACATGAAACATATCACCAGATAGCTTAGGTCTGAGCGCACATTATTACTGAATAGCGCTCAGACCACACACAGTTACAATTGCCATGGAGCCAAAGTCTTTTATTACACGAATAGGCTCCATGGCATAGCGATCTGGGTTAAAGGAGTTCATTCAGTAAATCCGAGAATCTACCGAACGCCAGGGCAGAATTACATGAATTGACCTTTCTGCATAGGAAAATAAAGTATTTAAATGCCGGTGCATAATCAAAAGGCAGCAGGCAGGCAACCAGGCTCCTCCAATGCACAGTGGCGAGATTGGTCTCGTCACAGCATTATATACACTGTGTGTTTCATATAATATAGTGTGCATTATATACACAGTGTGTTTATATAATGCAGTATGTTTGTGTAGAGTGCATTATATAAACACACTGCATTATATACACAGTGTGTTTGTGTAGTGTATATAATGGAGTGTGTGTGTTTGTGTAGGTATGTAATTGAGGGGGCATTTTTTATTAAAACTTTTTTATTTTTTATTTTATTTATTTTTTTACATATGTAATTATTATTATTTATTTTTTAGTCCCCCCTCCCTGCTTGTTACTGGGAAGGTAAGTAAACGCTACTGTTATATATTATCGGAAATATCGGTATCTGAATTGGCAGATGCCGATATTGCCAAAAATACAGAATATCGGCCAGACCGATAATCGGTCGATCCCTACTTTATTGTACTTTTATTTTAATTTAGCGTTTATCTCCTGCTCTGTTAATAGCTTGCTAGACCCTGCAGGAACCTCCTGTATGTAATTGAGGTTCCAATTTATAGAGCTGGAGATAAAAACTTTTAAAGTATTTTACTATCTAATTGAAAGTAAAACCATTTTACTTTTCATGCACGCTGTGTGATTCACAGTCAGGGGAGGTGTGGCTAGTCCTGCATAAACATAAGCAAATATGATTTAACTCCAGAAGCAGAGGATTTAGCAGTGAGAATTCAGAGGCATGATCTATACACAGAAGCTGCTTAATTATAACAATTTGATTGTAGGCACTAGATCATGCTATCACAACTCACAAAAGTTCAATTGAACGGTGGGATAGACCTCTGTTATAGTACTTTACCTCGTATGGGTAAATTTTTAGATAGATAGGCTTAGTGGAGCTACCGTAGATACCTCCCAAACAAGAATATTAATTATCTGAAACATAGTTTAAATTTCGCCAACTGATATGTAAGGAGACTACCCTACTGTGACCATTGTATTCAAACAAATTTGTTGACTAACACGTCAAAATAAAAATGTTACAGTCTGAACAGAAGTTCCATACAGGTACCAATAGGGTACATAATTTACTGTATTTTTACCTAAAGCCTGAGGTATCTGAGACCAGTGCATATGATATACTATCCTTGATACACTACAGTTGTAACTACCAAGCACTGTTATTTTTTCTCTTTGTTATTATTGCAAAATGTGTGTTTTTCTCTACAAATGTTATTTGATGGATATGTATCAGTTTAATGATGACTATTCAGTTGTTGTGACTATATCCTTGGTGTATCTTTGCACATAAAAAATAAAGAATTACGAAAAAGAAACTGCTTCATTAAGCTAAAGTTGTTTTGGTGGCAAAACTGTTAGTGAACAAAGCAATTCAACAACTGCCTTCATTTCACCTGCTAACTTTAAATGCAAGGAATAAACCCCCTTTTTTTGGGTATACTATAAACCGTAACCTAACATAAGACTGTTAGAATAAGGCTACCATCCTTATAGTTTAATAAGGGAGGTGTTGTATAACAAAGGTTTGCTTTCCGTAACATTATAGTTAAGATTTCATAAGTCACAATGGAGGCAATGTATTAAAACTCCACTGCTAATACTTAACACAAATCTCTCAATCATATGTTCTGATTTGCATTTCATATAATATATCAAGCCTTCAGAACAAGTTTTATTCAAATACACTGATTACATGCAGTTGTGTAAATTCATACAATAACTTAATGGAAATTATAGAACCAGGAAAACAAAGTTTTCAAGGCCTCCCCATAACCCCTGGTGCAGAAGGGGTTAATCACTTATCTGAGCCCAGCTCCAATGCCGCTCTTCCTCTGCCGAGACCTAATGCACATGGCCGCGCTAGCATCATAAACTCCCCAATAAGAAAGCATTGTATAATGCTTTCCTATGGGGTTTTGAGTGACGCTGGATGTACTCATACAAAGTCGCTTAACGACATGAAAGTCCCTCTACTGGCTGTCTGATAGACAGCAACTAGAGATGGAGTTAACCCACAAATGTAATGCAGGGTTAAGGGTCCTTGGAATATGCAACCAGACCACTTCAATAAGCTTAAGTGGTCTGGGTGCCTATAGTGAGACAATTCCTACTAATACAGTCTAATAAATTTGTCTGGTAATTCCATTCTACTCCTGCTGGGTTTTTCATAAGTGTTTTTTTTTTTAAAGGTTAAGTATAGTGTATTTCTCATAATTTTCACTCACCCACTAGTCATTGGCAAGTGGAAATTTAACCTTGACAAGTGTGCCATGGATCTTCCAAGCTTGTAGTGGTGTAGGAGTTTTGAGTCCTGGTATAATAGGGCATTACTCAAGTTTTCTTGAGGATTTTTTATTTTTCCATAGTGTTACAACTCTTACCCAGGCACTGTTGAATTCTGAGCCGAATTGGTCATGATGCTGGCAATTACGAGATTAGGCTGCTAAAAGGTGGGCATTGTGCTGATGCTGCTAAGCCAGCATTAAGTTACATTTTTAATGGCTAGCCAGTTTTCAACAGACCTGCTTCCCTGTTTCCCTCTTACATCCCTTCACTTCTCTCCAACTGCACAACCATATAGTATAACAGCGTAGGGGTGGAGGGATTGTATTCTTAAAAACAAAAACAAAAAATAGTAGTCTGGATCAGTGTGCCTTTACCTGCATCTCTTTTAGTTTTCTATTTTAATCCATTCTTGCACATAGGTATGGTCATACCAGGGAATTGATTTTTAGCAGTCTATCAGTAGTACACACTTTGTTCACCTAAAATGTGTTTTCGGGTAAATTCACTAGGACATTGGGTAGAGAACCAATTCTTTATATTACTCTGTTTCTTGCTACCTCAGAAAGGGGACCATGATTTCCATGCACGGTTTGTCAGGCTATAGAAATGTATTTTTATATTAAAAAAATTATGTATTAACAGTGTTTTCAATTGCAGTCTTGTTCTTCTGTTCTCATATTTTTTTTTATTTTTTTTGCTGTCAGGTGTTTGATGGACACACCAGTTACATCAATGATGTGGTGTTTTGTTCTCATGACGGCAATACATTTGCCAGTGTCAGTGATGATCACACGTGCAGGTAAGATATGTTCTCAGTTGCTAAGCTCTTCTATTAAAATGGGGTTAGTGTTATGTTGCCCTATTTGAAGCTAAAAAAAAATTCCTGTTTTTGGGTGACAAAAATTAAATGTATATATTTTATTGTAGAATAACTGCCCTTTTTAATATTTGTTTGTATTGGGCAGGAATGCACTTTTTCCGAGAAGCACTGTATATTATGCCATGTTGCGGGACTGGCATTCAAGGTTTATGGAAAATGTGAGAGAATATGATTTCACAGAAACCTTCATGAGCTAAATAATTTTTTTCCCTTCTTGAAAGTATCATTAGTAGTTGTATTACTATAACTAGCTTTAGTAAAAGAAAAACAAAGACTGTTCATTAATGTGCATGTGAAAGAGGGAACACAAAAAATTAATATGTTGACTGATATGAATGTGTTTCAACATAGTTGCCTGGATCTTTGGCATCTGCTGTGTACAAGCTAATGTGTTCTACATGTGTATGTCTTTCTTATGACCACTGTGGTAATTAGAGGTGTGTTTCTATATTCAATGCAGGGAAATAAATATTTTCTGTTACTAAGAAAACTACTCATAAAATATATTGTACTAACTGAAATATCTCGTAAAGACGAGTTGCCAGCACCAATCCAAATTAAATGTCAGTCTTCCAAAGCAAAATTGGTAAATGTAGTGATTATTACTGTGTTCTTTTATAATGGTTTCAGTTGCACTTTGAATGCTATTCAAAATTCGATGCTTAGTGTACTACAGTTAACCATCTCTTTTTTTCCCTTCCTTCTATAGCATGCAGGATTAATGATGCTCTTTCCATAACATAGGAAACCTAATGTCTACTATTTTCATAAGAGTTAGTGCTTTTGTGTAAGTTTTTAGATGAGTGCATGCAAGAACAAGTATAAATGATTGGGGAACACCATAGGGTCAGGAACACAAACATGGATTCCTGACCCTATAGTGTTAAAATCACCATCTAGTCCTCCTGACCCTCTCATGTCTCCCTAAATATAGTAAAATCTTACTTGTATTCAAGCCTGGAACTGAAGCTCTGCATGCTGTTTGCCTCAGAACAGCAAGCTACCTGCTGACATCATCAGAAGAGGTGGCCTGATCAAATCACAATGCTTCTCCAAAGGATTGGCTGAGACTGACAAGGAGGCAGATCAGGTCCAGAGCCAGCACAAGTCAAACACAGCCCTGGCCAATCAGCATCTCCTCATAGAGATACCCCTTGTACAACGCTACTGAATCTGATGGCGCTATATAAATAATAAAATAATAATAATAGAGATTAATTGAATCAATGAATCTCTGAGGAAAGTTCAGTGTCTGCATGCAGAGAGAGGAGATACTGAATGTTTGGATGCATTTTAGGCAGCCATGACCCAGGAAGGATCTCTAACAGCCATCTGAGGAGTGGCCAGTGAAGTTATCACTAGGCTGTAATGTAAACACTGCATTTTCTCTGAAAAGACCGTGCTTACAGCAAAAGGCCTGAAGGTAATGATTCTACTCACCAGAACAAATCCAATAAGCTGTAGTTGTTCTGGTGTCTGTATTGTCCCTTTAGTAAGAGAAGAGCAAGTTTGTGAAAATGTGCGGTTACACTTTCACTCAGTAAGGACACATAAGACAGAGTTTGACAAATTTACCTAGAATACATATAAAAACAAAAAGCAGCTGTTGAAAATTGTAATTAACGCCTTCACTTCCAAATAGCTTGTAGAAGAACCACACCACAAATCAATGTTTTGAATATCCTGGAAAGTAATGTTTAAATCATTTCAATATGCATAGATTGTACATTATTTAAAGGGATACTATAGTCACCAGAACAGCTTAATGTAGTTGTTCTGGGGGTGGGAAGGGGGCAAGCTACTTAAATGGTGGGTTAAACACTATAGGGTTAGGAATACATGTTTGTGTTCCTGACCCTATAGTGTCCCTTTAACCCCTTAGGGACCAGGCTGTTTTTCAATTTTCTTACTGTTAAGGACCTGGGCTCTTTTTACATTTCTGCAGTGTTTGTTTTAGCTGTAATTTTCCTCTTACTCATTTACTCTACCCACACATATTATATACAGTTTTTCTCGCCATTAAATGGTCTTTCTAAGGATGCTATTATTTTCATCATATAATTTACTATAAAAAAAATTATAAAATAAGATGGGGGGAGGGCACTTTTTCAATTTTTTTTTATTTCTTACATTTTTTATTTTTGCAGTGCATAGAAATAATACAAGCAGGCGTGAGGTGCCCCAAAAGCAGTCCTCAGGCTTTTCCTCGCTTAACATGCAGGACAGATGAATAATAAGCACAATTTTATAATATAAGCAGGCCTGGTCAGAATGTCAGCAGTAGACAGTGTCAAATATGGAAGACAATAATATAAACCAACAATGCTATGGAATCTGCAGCATACATACTGACATTTTGATGAGACAGTGACATGGAAACATTGCATATTAGTATTTCTAAACCAGGCTTAAACTTTCCGCTGTGTCACAAAGAGATAGAATTAAGTTACACGAATAAGAAGGCATGCATGTGTAGGTTGAACTGATTGGACTTGAAATCTATGTCAAGTGTACCTCCATGGGCCCTGTGTGAGTATGTGTATCCGCACTTACTGGAGGCTCAGATAGGGGTGATGTAGAGTGCTGGTGTATTTTACAGCTTAGGTGTTGTGGTGTGAGACTGGGTAGCGTTAAATATGTTTTGGTGAGAAACAGGCAAGATAAACATATGTCTGAGCAGTATATCTGGTACTGGTGCTTATGTGCTTGAGATGAGATAAAATAATGTCCATTTACATTGATATGTACAGCATGTCATGTTATGTGGAATCAGTGTTCATGGGTGTCTGGGTAGCATTCATTTATGAGCGTGGGGCGGAGGATGACCGTCTGTTTGCTGATTAGTCACCCCATTCCTTCAGGAGGGAACCATGCCTGCGGCATCTGAGGTTCACAGAGGTTGGCAGTTGGCCAGGTGCGAACCGGTTGCGCCCTCCAGCTCCGGGCCGGTAGCTGGGCCGGCATTCTGTAGCCACGGACCCGGGGATTTCTGAAGACCGGGTGCTTCCCTGTCAGGACAGGTCTGGAGGCCTTGGTGATGGTGTGGCGCCGCCGTCAACCGGCAGGTCTCCGCCTGCGTGGATGATGCGCCGGGGTTGTTCCCCTGATGGCCCTCAGCCCAGATGGGCAGTTGTGGAGAGTTGTGGACTGCTTTTCAGCGGCTGTGCCTGAGGGTAGCCTAGTCCCACTCCGGCCGATGTTGCCTTGTCGACCCTCCGTGTTCCCGCTGTGCGTCGGGCCTCAATCCGTGCCCAGAAGGCCTCGAACAGCTCATTCAAGCGGGTGGTGAGGAGATAGTTTGTGTTGGGGCTGTGTGTCGGAGGTCCGCATCCGCCATTTTTCTGGGCTGCCTGTAAGCATGGTGCGTGGTTGGGGCTGATGTCCATGTTTCGGGCCCATTGAGGCATGCCACTCGAGACGAGTGGGGGGGCAGCCGGGTGCTGCGTGTGTTTGTGGGCCGGGAGAGCGGCCATCTCTTCCTTGCCCTGCTTGGCGTAGGCCCCAGGCTTCAGCTCAGTCATTCCGGCAGGTATACTGGGCTTGTGAGGTATCCCCCGGTTCACCAGAGTCTGCGGGGCAAGTTGTGGTGAGTGGGGGTTCAATATTAGTTGGTTTGCCCCGGGTTTCAGCCGGTATTTAGGCCCAGGCCCAGGAGCTCAAGCTTGTGCGACTGTACAGCTTCACAGTCAGGCCACGCCCTCCACTTTTTCAAATTTTGACCGCCAAAATCTGTTACGGATTTACAACTTCCAAAAAACACCCATGCTAAATAGTTTCTACATTTTGTCCTGAGTTTAGAAATGCCTAATGTTAACATGTTCTTAGCTTTTTTTTGAAAAGTTATAGGGCTATAAGCATAAGTAGCACTTTGCTATTTCCAAACCATTTCCCCCTAAAATTAACTTAATTTACATTGTAACACTGATATCTTTCAGGAATCCCTGAATAACCCTTCACATGTATATATTTTTTTAAAAGAAGACAACCTAAGGGGGGTATTTTGACTCTTTTGATGCAACCATTTTACCAACAATCTATGCCAAATGGAAAAAAAAAATAATTTTAAAATTGGGTGATTTTTATTTTTTATTATTTTTTTTTGACACACATAGCAATTTAAGAATACATGTACGGAGAACTTTAAGGGTTACTACCAAAGAACACCCCAATATGTGTTCAGCAACATCTCCTGAGTACAGTGACATCCTCCATGTATAGGTGTGTCGGGTTATATGGTTGCTAAAAGACCTTATTTGAAGGGTGCGCATTCCAGTTTTCCAACTTGGTATTTTCTTAGCTGGTCATCATGCACCCATGTCCTATTTGGGACTTTTTTTGAACCTGGCCAATGTAATTTACCCCCATCAAACCATATATTTTTTAAAAGTAGACACCCTAGGGTATTTCAAATTGTGGTTATTTTCACACTTTCCATGCAATAATTCTCCACCAGTCTTTGTCAAACTTTTGGGTAGTCGGTTTTTTTGTTATTTTTCTCTCATTGTACTGTAGGCATGGATTCTCAGTTCCTGTTATGTGTTACTGACAAAGAAACCCCCAATATGTGTTCAGCAACATCTCCCAAGTAAAACAGTGCCCCCAATGTACAGGTTTTATGGGTTTTTGCAAACTTACAGGGGTCAAATGTAGTGCTTTCCCCTTTTCCATGTTTGCACATTGAAATTTGCTAGATTGGTTTGCTGGGCCTATGTTGCCTTTGAGAACGTATAGCAGCCCAGGAATGAAAATTCACCCCATCATGGCATACCATTTGGAAAAGTAGACAACCCACGGTATTCAAAATGGGGTATGTCCAGTCTTTTGTAGTAGCCACTTAACATAAACGCTTGCCAAAGTTAGCGTTCATTTTTTATTTATTTTTTGCATTTTTTTTAAACAAAAAAAAAACTGCATTCTTGCTGGTGATTTCATCGTCGTGATAAGTTTTACTGTTGTAAACACTCTTATTTGTGTTCTGCAAAGTCTCCTGAGTATAACAATACCCCCATATACAGGTTTTATGGTGTTTTGGAAGGTTACAGGGTCAATATAGGGCTTGCCCAATTCAGTTTGCTGCGTCTATGTTGCCTTTAGAGACTATATGGTAGCCCAGGAATGTGAAATAACCCCATCATGGCATACCATTTGTACATAACCCAGGGTATTCCAAATGGGGGATTTCCAGTCTTTTGTAGTAGTCGCAAACGCTAGCCAAATTTATCATTTTAATTTATTTTTTTTTGTGTGTGTGTGTGTGTGTGTGTGTATATATATATATATAAAGTAATTCAGGCACTCACCCCTGGAGTATTCCCAATGTAACTGCCTTTGGTGCTTCCGACGTCCAAAATGTAGATAAATCGATAAAATGGAGCACTCAAAAGGACTTCAACACGGTGTATTTATTGTGACGAAAAGTTTACAACATAGTGCAAATAATCCTGATCGACGTTTCGACCCCTAAGGGTCTTTTTCAAGATCAACTAACTCGTGAAACAAGCAAAGTTTAAATACATAAAGAGAATATTGACTCACCAATCTCGTGTGTGCGGCAGCTCATTCAAACCCGGAAGTGTCACAAAGACCCACGTGGTTTCCCCGGCATGCGTCTGGACGTGCAACGTGGTTGCTAGGTGATGAAGTGTATACAATGTGATAAACGTAGCTTCGGAAACCAATGTGATCGCAGTGTCTATACGTTATCAAAATGTGGAATTAAATAACCAAGTGTCCAGTGGTCTATAAGGTGACCACGGGGTGGATTAAAAATACTAAATTAAAATCAAATGGAAGATCTCTGGGTGTATAAATAGCGATGTGAGACTCTGACGCAATTGTGAGAATGACACTGTTTATAGAGTGCCGTGCATAAAAAAAGAAGAAACCCATCGCTAAATTTATTGATTATCTTATTAAAACTTCTGTTATGGATCTTCCTACATGTTTACATGACACAAATGACTTCTTGGACAGTATTAAGGGACTAACATCGGTTGAAGAACAATTTCTATTGGTTACATTGGACGTGAAGAATTTATATACCATTATACCACATATGGACGGTATACAATCATTACGCCAAATTCTCAGTAGTTCATCTAAATACTGTGGGCCACCTATTGAGTTCCTTATGGATCTTTTACAGGTAGCCCTCACGTGCAATTATTTTAAGTTTGAAGATCTTTTTTTATCTTCAACTGATGGGCACCTCTATGGGTGCAGCTATGGCTCCCTCATATGCCAACGCTTATATGTTTGTGTTTGAGACCCAATATATCTTGGAGAATCATCGAGAAAATATACTTACATACCATCGTTTTGTGGATGATATCTTTTTGATTTGGACGGGAACCAGCAATAGTCTGGAACAAATGATCAATGATTTGAACTCATCTTCACTTCCAGTAAAATTGACACTTACCTTTGACACTAATGTAATCCAATTTTTGGATGTTTCTATTTATAAAGATAAAGGCAAGCTGGGGTATACTCTCCATCGGAAAGACACCGCAAGGAACACTTTACTTCAGTTTAGTAGCTGTCATCCACAGAAGCCGAAAGAATCGCTCCCTTTATCTCAGTACATGCGTGTACTGAGATATAACAGTGACCTGGTGAATCAAGAGAAACAACTCCAGGAGATGACGGATAGATTCCTCGTGAGGGGATATAATTCGGATGTGTTGCTTAAAGCTAAGGAAAAATCTCTGGAACTTATGACACGAGACTCCAAAGATCCACTACAAAAAACTTTAAAACCGACTAGAATGTATCTACCTCTCACATTCCACACAGGCACCTCACAAATACAACGAGCTATGAACAAATACTGGGGCATTTTGAGCTCAGATAAAAATTTACCAACTATTTTTAATCAAAAAACAACAATTAGTCTCAAACGGAACAGAAATTTAAGGGATTTACTTGTTCAAAGTGATCCTACTATATGTTACCAGAAAGCCTTAGGACACCGTAAGAAAGGGTGCTACAGATGTAGTGGCTGTGTGACCTGCAGCCATATGAACACAGGTACCTCTTTTGCCCATCCACACAGTGGCATCAGGATCCCCATTTCTCATTATATTACATGTACGACAGATCATGTAGTATATTTAATCGCTTGTCCCTGTGGCCTTTCATATGTGGGGAAAACAGATCTGACTCTGCGGGATCAGATTCGAGGTCATAGATCCACTATTACAACTGCATTCAGAAATCAGATAAACCGGTCGCGAAACACTTTCTTCAAGCGACACACACACTCCCTACATTGAGATTTACAGCTATTGACCATGTTCCTCCCAGTCCTAGAGGAGGTGATAGATCTAAATTGTTACTTCAACGAGAAACATACTGGATACATTGTTTGGATACAGTCACTCCTAAAGGACTGAATGAATACATATCATTCTCTATGTTCCTTTAAACAGTATACATTTCACTCTAGTATGGTTTAATGTACCATTTTAAGTCTTTGTATTCACACTATGAGATGTTGGTTTCTAGTTAGTGTCAAGCCTTCATTGACTTAAGTATATGGTTGATTAACCCCAATTATTTAATAATTCTGATGTAATAATCTGCACTATATGTCATAGACTGATGATGTGAGATCTGTATCGTTCACTGTTTGCACATATTTTTAATCACGGTTCACGATATTTTTATTCCATTCACTTTTTATGCACGGCACTCTATAAACAGTGTCATTCTGACACTTCGGCTCAGAGTCTCATCGCTATTTATATACCCAGAGATCTTCCATTTGATTTTAATTTAGTATTTTTAATCCACCCCGTGGTCACCTTATAGACCACTGGACACTTAGTTATTTAATTCCACATTTTGATAACGTATAGACACTGCGATCACATTGGTTTCCAAAGCTACGTTTATCACATTGTATACACTCCATCACCTAGCAACCACGTTGCACGTCCAGACGCATGCCGGGGAAACCACGTACATGCCATAAACTACCAAACCACATTTTCTCTCACAATATATACATTATTAAGAACTAAGGGAATGCAGACTTTTGAACAGGTGTCAGTTCATTTTTTTTCTTTGTCATGTTTTGTTTTATGATTGTGCCATTCTGTTATAACCTAGAGTTGAATATGAATCTCATAGGAAATAAAAGAAATGTATTTTCTTTAAGAATGGTACATTTATTACCAATTCACCCAAGTGTATGCAAACTTTTGTGCACAACTGTATACATGATCTGCTCCCAGCTGAAAATGCAGGTTTGATGTAACAACTACAGCTTGAGTAGAGTCTCCTAGAATTGCCTCTTAGTTTAAATGAATACTGCAACCACTTCAGCGCATTGAAGTGGTTATGGTGCATGAAGTCCAGTCAGTGGTGGGTCATGCATCTCACCATTTAGTAGAGATTCTCTATCCGTGGCAGCCCGAAGTCTGGCCTCTAGTGAAAATATGGTGAAGTTGGAGGTATGCCGTACCAGGTGTAGCGGTCAATGATTGATTGAGAGACATGGGAGACAAGCTAAAGGCTGTTAAAGCATTATTGTAGCTGTACAACCCTAGTTGTGGTGGAACTACATCTTTTCCCATGCATGTCTACAATCTGCTAAATGCAATGCATGACTTGATACTTTAATTTGAAAGAAAAAAAATGAGAACCTGCACGAACTTCAAATTTTCCAGTTTTGCTTTAGTCTGAAACCATTTTGTAAAAATAAGATTTCAATACCACTGCAGTCCATTATGAAGTATCAATTTCTCACATTTAGTTAGAAACTTTGGTTACAGATGCTTGCTTGATCTCTTGTGCTTCTCTGCAAAACCTATAAGGAAACATAAAACTGCTTTGTAATATACGTAATTAAATAAACTGTTACGACTTAATGTTATAATCTCACAGTTCCCTTTTTGAGAACCAGTATAATCCATATTAAAGTAATGGCTAAATTTGTCAGAGGTTGCTACTCATCCAGCCTGTTTGGTGATTGTTTCAATGTTGAGAAAGTATTATGACATTGGACAAGAACCAATAAATATTGCCAAATACATAAAAAGCGGAATACTTTGTAAAAGAACATTAAGACCATTTCCAAAAGGTCAGCTTGCTCTTGTTATTCTTAACTTTAGATCACTTCTCTTGTTATACGAGGCCCTTAACAGTGTCTACAGCTTGTATACGTAGCTTAAGGAAAAACAGTCAAGCAGTCACATTTACTGTCTCTTCCTTGACAAGTATTTAATAGCGTTTGGTGAAGTACAGCTTAATTCTGTAGTTTTGTCTGGCATTTAGTCATATGTCGATTTACAAGAATTGTACTTTATTGACTTGAGCTGCATCAAGACACAGGACCAGGCTTCAGCTTGTCAGTCTCCATATTAACAAAGTTTTAAAAATGTATTTAAAAATCTACAATGTGATAGTTATAGGCTCTGCCATCCAGTTACATTCGGAGATTCCTAGCATCTTTTCCCAGTTTCCATGCCTATATGCGTGCCATTTTTAGGTAGATTTTCTTATATTTGTAAAAAGTCATAAGGGTGGTGGAATGGCGGTATTGGATTTGATATGGGAGGTGGACTAGTTCTAGGATGCCAAGGGTAGTGAGAGCAATACTGTAAAGGAGCACAAGGAAGGATGGTGAGATGAGGTATTTTTAGGTAAGGAAGCAGAGAAGATACTTGCAGACGTATTTAGACATATCACGCAGTTGATGAAATGGTGTAGATGGATTTGCGTACGCAAGAATTTATATTGAAAATGTTATGTTGTTGATTAGACACCTAATGCAGGCTGAGCATATGCACAGTAGTATTTAAAGGGATACTATAGTCACCAAAACAACTACAGCTTAATGTAGTTCTTGTCAGGATAGCATATCCCTGCTTTACATTACAGTGTCTCCACCGTCTGCATGAAGACACAGAACTTTCCTCATAGAGATGCACTGATTCAGTGCATCTTTGCGGAGCAGCTGATTGGCCAGGGTGGTGTTTGGCTCTGCCCCTTGGCTTGCCTCTTTGGTTGAGATCATCAGAATTTACTATCTTTAGTAATATTTCTAAAACCCAGAGATTGCATATATTTCCCATAACACTTATTTTACTATTTCTCAAGTAAATTCTCACTCCATGACCTAGTAAGAGCCAGCAGCCAGTAACCGTGGATGATAAATCTCATCACTCAGCTAGCTCAGAACATACATGTCCCTGTGCTGCACGGGTTGCAGATTGAGAGCCACAATACACAGAATATACAGCATTGTTTTCTCATATTGTATGTAATGGCACACAGTTTATTACTGGATCAAAAATCTGTTTTTGAGTTAAAATATATGTAATAAATACACAGAAATCCTTAAATGTACTTATTACTATGAATGCATTAGATGACAAAAATAATGGTATAGATATTACCTTTGCACATTAGAGCAGAAAAGCTGAAACATCATAAAAACTTTGAATTATCCAGCCTACTTAATTGAATATGTCTAAAGGGCTTTTTGTTTGTTGTGTTTTCCTTTGTCTTGATGTAACCAACCCACATTACTTTTTTACACCCTGCAAAAGAAAATGTTATTGATCTTTTTATTCACATCCACCTCCACAGACTTTGTGAAAAGCTTTTTGGTTCCTTGGGTTAACTTACTCAAACAGTGCTGGAACCAATAGTGTATTGTAGAGTCCATTATGTCTACAATTAGTCAATGTACATGCCCACTTAATCTCAGAGGAGGGCCACCAAGATCATCGTCAGTCTCTGCCCAAATTTTTCTTTTTAACAAACTTGTTGGATACTTTTGTTGAGACATTCACAATGCCTGCAGGAATGGATTTAGGATGTACCTATTTCATAGGAGACCCATACTTTTAAAGAGCAGTTGTAATGGGGAAAGGAGAAGTAAATCTTTTGTTCTGCGTTTAATTGCCTCCTTTTATTTATTTATTTATTTATATATATAATTTTTTTATGACACCGACATCTTGTGGGTCACTTATAGATATATATATATGTGTGGGTTTTTTTTTTATTTATTTGTTTGATGCATCACTATAAATATTTGTGTTGCATCTTCTCAATACATATATGTATTTTATATTTTTTTAAGAATGTGGAATATAGGAAAAGGTCAGACTGCTATGTTTATGTTACGATCCCCAGGAATGAGTGTGGCATGGCACCCAGAAGAATCTTCGAAGGTAAGTGCTTTTATAGTACCTTTTTTTTCAGAACTTCAGCATGTTCCCTTTTAAAGAGTTCTGTGTACTTTCGAATGACAAAGTAATTATTTTTAAACTCCGATATGAATTCCTTTCCAATATACAAGGCATAACATTTTTTAAACACCGTTGTTGTTTTTTTCCATCTGGGAGCAAGATTTCCAACTTCAGTTAATGTTTTTGAAAACTAGCTGATAGATTTTCTGTTTTTTCACCTGTTTTTTAGTTTGAGCAGGTTATCTACTCACAAGGTAATATCATGCTCATTCAAGTAGTAACATGCCAATTCATGTCAAATTTGTTTTTATTTAAACTTTTAAACTTTAAAATTACATTGAGGAAAAATGCTTCCATACAAGTCAGCAGCATATTTGGTATCTGGTAGTTTAGGATTAATGACCCACCCAAAGGAATATCAATGTTTTAATTATACAGAATCAGCTGATGATTTACTCACTAATTCTCTTTCAAGTCACCTGAAGCTTTCTGCCGTTTTTGACACAGTCAATAACGTTGTCCGTTACAGCACCATTCTTTCATGATTCTCCTCTTGCCTTCCACCAACACTCACTTAGCATCTTCTTTTCTGGCACCACTTTCGCCAAACTAACGGTCTCATTTGGTGTCCCTCCAAGACCGTTTTTTGTTTCCTCTTTATACTGCCTTTCTTGGAAACCTCATTAGCTCCTTTGGATTTCAGAATCATCTATACTCTGATTTTATCTATCCTGGAACACATCCCCGATTGTCTCTCTTCAGTCTCTAATTAAATGACCCATTTTCTACAGCTCAATCTTTTCAATACTCCTCTTTCCTTCTTTAAACACTCCACCTCCTTTTGCCTAGCTCCTTACAAGTCACTCATTACCCTACCTCACCTGTATACGCATTGAATATATTGACCTATATCTAATGCAAGATGCTAGTAAGGCACTTGTTTATGAAGTTATTATTTCATAACTTAATATTGAAAGCTACTTCTTATCAGTCCTCCCAATACCTGCATTGTCTCACTGCAATAGCTTATGAATGCTGCAACTAGACTTATTTCTCACTCACCACTTCTTTCACCCCTCATTTCTTTTCCAGTCCTTCTATTGGCTTACTATACCATTCATGATCCAATTACAAACACTGACATCTTATTGCATTTCCTTTTTGATTCTCAAAGTTTGCTTGTTAAACTCTGTCAGTGATCTTTTCCTCTGCTCATTGTCACATTGCCACGTCTCATTTACATGATTTCTTAGGGACTGCATGATTCCTATGGAATGCCCTACCATAATCCAGGGCTTGACAAATTTGCTTTCAATCTAGGAGACCGCTTAAAAAAAATGTTAGGAGCCAGCTTTTTTATTCCAACGACAAAAATACAATTTTTAAAGGAACACTATAGTCACCAGAACTACTACAGCTTAATGTAGTGGTTCTGATGTCAATAGCCTATCCTGCAGGCTTTTCAATGTAAACTCTACACATTACTGCATAGTAACCCCTCTAGTGGCAGTCTCTTAGGTGTCTCCTAGTTCATTCAGCGTCTCCACACTCTGCATGGAGGCATTGAAAGTTTCCCACAGAGATGCATTGATATAATGCATCCCTATGAGGAGATGCTTGATTGGAAATTGATTATCTCCGCTATGGGCCAGCTGAGACGAGACCGGCAATGTGTCGGAAAAAAGGTGAGTAAAAACATTCCCATGGGATCAGAGGGGGCTGGTAACCTAAGCATACTCATTCACTGATAGAAACACACATTCTCTCACACACAAAGTATTTATCATTATTTGATAGACACACAAGCAAATACACACATAAATGAAAAACAAACATATTATTAGCCACCTTCCTGTTTCCTACCTTTTGGGCTCAGGAGGGTGACTTTCCTGGGGTCCAGTGGGACTGGGTTGCAGGTGACATTGGATCAGTGGGGCTGATGGGAGCTGGCTGCCTCTGGAGCAGATTCCCCATCCTCCTGTCTCTGCAGCTCTCATGTGCGCCAGGAGGAAGTGAAGGGAACTGTAATGACTTCCGGTGATGAGGCTGTGCAGGGGAGCGGACTGGGACAGACAATCTCTGAGTAATGGGGGCAGGCTGGAGGCTAGCTTGGTGGAAGGGGTGCGGACAGCAAGCAGAGCAGACTTTAGTTTATCTCCTGCCAGCTTGTCATTCACCTGTGCAGTCTCAACGATGGGAGTAAAGAAAGAGAGATCCCTTCACTTCCTCCTGTTACACCGGCGCACACAGAGCTGCACGGGCATTGAGGAGGGAACAGTTTGACCAATCTCAGGCACCAGGACAACATTCTTAGGCCCCTGGGATTTGTGGAGCCCTACCATATTCATATAAAAAACATGTTAATATCTCTGCCCAATACATCCTTTATCTCAATTCCTCCCAAATTGTAAGCTCATTTGAATAGTAGCTCTTCGACTATTGAATCTGTCAACATCTGTGTCTATCAGTTACTTGTTGTTATATAACCCTCCTAAAATGTTGCCACTATAAACATGCCAGTAGTAATGAGGGAGCTGGTCTCCCCAGTTAATGCACATAGAAAATGCGTTAAAAATGTCAATAGCAAGCTGACTCATCCCTGATCGTGAAGAGGCTCATCAGTCAGGATATTTTTATTCTGTTTGGTGTTTGATCCAGAGGTTTGAGATAAGTAGACAACATGCACACAATGTAAACATACGTTATACAAAATGTATATAAGTAAACAGGAATTGAGAATTATGGTTTCCTGACTGACAGCTCAGGTGGGAGCTGTGTTTTATTTATCTATCTTCCCTTTCCGGAGCATTCCTTACATGGTTCTCTAGCTGCATACATGCCTTTCTGACATTAGCAGGGCCAGCACTGTGAGGTCAAGATAATTTTTGTATTGTATGCCCACGCTGTGCCTTAAAAATCTGACATGATGCAAAATGAAAATGTAAAAAAAAACAAAAAACTCTTACCTAGCATTAAGAAGATCTTTCGCTGCAGCTCTGCGCTCATTAGTGATGAATTCCCAGCTAATTCAATGTTCCTTGTAGAAAAGCATTGGTAGGCAGGGCATATGCATGGCATTAGCAAGCACTCTAGGCAAAAGAGGAAGGGAACCAAACCGCCTTGCAGTACCAATATAACTGTTAATTTTGTCTTGCAATTGACACTGATATAAAATAAGGCTGCAATTATACTTTGTAACTCCTTATATGGACACATTTCATAAACATAAGATCCCAAAATAATGTGTACAACATAACAAAGTTTTGTTTTCCCCCCTTCCAGTTGATGGTAGCCGAAAAAACAGGAACTATACGTTTCTATGATTTGCTTACCCATCAGGCCATTCTGTCGCTTGAATCTGTGCAAGTTCCTCTTATGTCAGCTGACTGGTGTTTAAAAAACCCTTTCAGGGTAGGAGCAGTGGCAGGAAATGACTGGATCATTTGGGAGATGCCGCGTTCCAGGTACTTTAATATTCAGATTCTTACTTGAGTTCTAAAATTATATCTATTTATTAATATATTTATAGTATGCTCTTCAAACTGAAGCGGTTTTGGGTTCACCATGTTTGACTTTATTTTATTTTATTGCAGCTATCCTCAAAACAATAAGCCTGTCCATGCTGATAGAGCAAGATTATTCAGGTATACCATTATTAAAGTGTTTGTGTACATCGCAAAAAAACAGAAAAAAAAACATTAGATTTACATGAGTTGATTTTTGTATGTAAAATGTATTCACTGTCTATTTAATTTCTATGTTTGAAATAAAACTGTGTGTCAGCTTGGCAAACAGGTGAGATTTGAATAGCAGCTGGTTTATATAGTTTGTATGCTTCGATATGATGTATTTGAGCAAAAACTTATGTGATTAGAAACCCTTGAATGGTAATTGCCAATGAGGCTAGTAGCTGGGAATTTTGAGATACAGAAAATATCACTTCATGGCAGTTCATATTATAAAAATGAAAAGAATGAGCTCACTCCTTATGTCAGAAGGTCACAAAGATGAGAACTTATCTAAGAGTGGTATTGTTTCCTCTTCTCTTCCTCTTTCAGAATTTGTTCTTCTTCTTTTCTTAATTTCTGATCTATTTCCTTTTTAAAACATAAGGGAAAATATTGACAACTTTGTTTTATGTATTTTTCCTACTCTTGATATAGGGTGGAGTGTAATGAAAGCTCCACTTCCCTTCTCAATGAACAAAGGTAGTAGAGCTTGCCTTAAGCTCTGGCCTTTGTCAAGTGTAGGAGAAATACATGAGATAGCATACTTCCTAAAAAGTAGATCATACACTTTACCAAATCTGTGTACAATTTGTGCCTGTATACACATATATATAACAAGCCATACGCTCATAAACATGCATAACTAGCCACACAAATATATATAATCCAAGACAGATGTGTGTGTATATGTGTGTGTATATATATATATATATATATATATATATATATACATAACCATCAGCACTCACAGAGATAGATACATATTCAGCCACACTCGCATACGTGCGTACCTAACTAGTGTGCAGCCTTAGAGCTGTACACTCTGATGCACAGACTCGTTCCTGCTCTGTCATGATTTATGTTTAAGAGACGGGATCACCAGGAGGTAATTTTAAATCTGCCATTCACAGCCTTCAGCAATGCGTTTATCTGAAAGATGCTACATCCATGGTTACATTATTGTAAATATGTGTGCAGCTCTGCCCTGCTGAAGTGCATTAAAGGGATACTGCAGTGCCGGGAAAACAAAACTGTATTTCTGGCACTACCGATCTCTCTGCCTTCCTCGTGCCCCCTACTACCTGGTAAATAAAGGATTAAAACCTCTTTAGTTCCTTACCTGATCCCAGTGCTGATGTCCCTAGGTGCTGGGTCGAAGCTCTGCCCCCTCCTCTGTCCCGCGACGAGTGGGTCTAATGCACAAATGCCGCTCGTGCATTAGACCTCCCCATAGGAAAGCACTGAATCAATGCTTTCCTATGGAGGAAAATCTGACGCTGGAGGTCCTCATGCAAGCGTGAGGACGTCCAGCATCAGATAACAGACCAAAAGTCTGTTACGATTCCGGAAGTCCTCTAGTGGTTGTCTGGTAGACAGCCACTGAAGGCAGATTTAGAGCTGCAATGTAAACATTGCAGTTCTCTGGAACTGCAATGTTTTGCATTGCTGCACTAAATGTAAAAGGGGCACAGCACCCAGACCACTTCAATTAGCTGAAGTGGTCTGGGTGCCTATAGTGTACCTTAAACTGCTTTTTGCCAGTGTCTAACTGAAAAGCTGGAAAAGGACCATGGAGCTTGTGGGGGTGCATGCAAGCAATAAATAAATGAACTCATAATGTACTCTCCCTAGATACTTTGCCCACTTGGGACCCAATCTGCCCAATCCAACAAACAGTTCCTTGCACCATATGTACTGTTTGACGATGGATATATAAATAAGATTTCAATTTATAAAGGGATTCCTTTCCTGTGAACATGATTGAGTGAGTGCTCAACTGTTTTCACAGTGCTTGTAGTTGATGGGGTGTGGCAAATAGTGGGTGCTTTTGCCACCCCAAGGCCCAGACCTACTCAGCTTGTGGGCAAGTATATCTCTGATTATTATTCACGTAGGTGTATACATATTTAATGACTTTTTTTCCTATAATTTGTTTTCAGGTGGTCAAGGTGTAGTGAAAATCTATTTGCAACCACAGGCTATCCAGGAAAGAAAAACACTCAGCTTCTTATTCATCATTTAAAACATCCACAGGTAATGTTGTTTAATAATGTTTGAACCTTATGTTAATATGTGATGCAGCTCTTGGTTGAACCTTATGTTAATATGCGATCCAGCTCTTTGACTGGATATGGAGAAGGGTGTATTTTAACACTGATCATTCTCTAAATAAATTACATCATAATGGTCTGCAATGTAAGTTAAATTAACATTTTAGGAAAAAGAACTTTAGCTTAATGAAATGGTTCTGGTGTATGTATCATGCCCTTGCAGTCTCACTGCTCAATTGTCTCCAGTTTTCAGAGTTAAATCAATTTGTTTATATAGCCCTAGCAACACTTTACTTTGTTGTGACATATACAGCCTACCAACTGTGACAGGTACCTTGTGCCCGGACTGAGCACACCCGTCCCAACAGCTTCTTCCCGCCAGCCAAACCACAGATCTTCACGAAGACTTGGTCAGCTAGAACCTCCCTCAAGAACAGTAGACACACACAGGTTGAGGGTAGAACAGGAACTAACTTTATTAGACACACTCAGGTATTTGTATAGAAGTAAACTCATTAGTAAATACACAAAGGTTTGGAACAGCAACCAATCAAACTGGGCCTAAACAAACAGCCAATCACACTAAACCTATTAAGAACCAATAGGACACAGCATCACAGAACACCTACTTTGCATACACAGGAAAACATTATGCATTATGTAAAGGGATTAACACACAGTCAACAATAGGTGACTCAGCTCCCTGTGTCACAAAGGGGAAAGTCCCAACCCCCACCCACATGGTCACACAGTCTCTGGTTCGGCACCATCTTGTTTCTCCATGTCGTGGATAGGTCTAAGTCTGTGCAGTCTAAATGGCCGCTCCCCACCAGAGCCCACCCAAACAAAGGAGCCCTTGATGCCCAAGTGACGGCGTACCAGCTTTCTGTCACACCTACATGCTTCCTTTTTTATTTTTATTTTTTTAATTGCACATTGTGTATAACTAATAATTTATAGCCTACTGAACTTTCTGTGTATGATTAAAGCTCAATTAACAAAGCAAGCGATAAGAGCTTATAAAGCAAACACTTCGGGTATGGCACAGTAGACAATGTCATACATCTCAAGGTGAATTGTAATTGGTACCTCTTAATTATCTACTGATATGTATTCCATTGCAGACAAACACTGTGCTATAAGATCTGATATAACATTAAAGAGACACTATAGTCACCAAAACAACTTTAGCTTAAAGAAGCAGTTTTGGTGTACAAAACATGTCCCTGCAGTCTCATTGTTCATTTCTCTGCCATTTAGGAGTTAAATCACTTTGTTTATGAACCCTAGTCACACCTACCTGCATGTGACTTGCGCAACCTTCCTAAACACTTCCTGTAAAGAGTCATCTAAAGTTTATTCTTCCTTTATTGCAAATTCTGTTTAATTTAGAGTTTCTTATCCTCTGGTATGTTAATAGTGTGTTAGACCCTGCAAGAGCCTTCTGTATGTGATTAAAGTTCAATTTACAGAGAAAGAGATACAATTGTTTACGGTAAATTACATCTGATTGAAAGTGAAATCCATTTTCTTCATGCAGGCTGTGTCAATCAGAGCCAGGGGAGGTTTGACAAGGGCTGCATAACCAAAAACAACGTGATTTAACTTCTAAATGGCAGTGAAACCTACAGAGCATGATCTATACACTAAAACTGCTTCATTAAGCTAAAGTTGTTTAGGGGACTATAGTGTTCCTTTAAATCATTTTTTTCATGTTAGCTGTGTGAGTCACAGCCAGGGGAGGTGGGGCTGGTGCTGCATAACAAAAACAAAAGTGATTAACCCCTTAAGGACAGAGCCAAATGTACACGTTGTGAACAAAACAAAATGTAAACAAAACCTGGCATTTGCGCTACATGTCTGTCCAACCGTAATTCACCTATTTCATAGTAAATGCACCCACCCTTATTATATATCATTTTATTCAGGGGAAACAGGGCTTTCATTTAATATCAAATATTTAGCTGTGAAACATAATTTAATATGAAAAAAATGGGAGAAAATAAGAATTTTCTTTATTTATTTTTTTTAGTTCTACATGACATTTTAACTGTCAATGTCATAATACTGTTTGCTTTTACTGCAATAAAATACACATATTTGTATTCAGCAAAGTCTCACGTGTAAAACTGTACCCCCGATGTACAGGTTTTATGGAGTTTTGGGAAGTTACAGGGTCAAATATAGCACGTTACATTTGAAATTGAAATTCGCCAGATAGGTTATGTTGCGTTTGAGACTGTATAGTAGCCCAGGAATGAAATTTACACCCATAATGGCATACCATTTGCAATAGTAGACAACCCAAGGTATTGCAAATGGGGTATGTCCAGTCTTTTTTAGTAGCCATTTGGTCACAAACACTGGCCAAAGTTAGCACTAGTATTTGTTTGTGTGTGAAAAATGCAAAAAACGCCAATTTTGGCCAGTGTTTGTGACTAAGTGGCTACTAAAAAAGACTGGGACATACCCCGTTTGCAATACCCTGGGTTGTCTTCTTTTGCAAATGGTATGCCATCATGGGGGTAATTTTCATTCTTGGGCTACCATAGGGGCCTCAAAGGCAACCTAACCAATCTGGTGAATTTTAATGTGAAAAAAATGAAACACAAGCCTTATATTTGACGCTGTAACTTTTGAAAACACCATAAAACCTGTACATGAGGGGTACTGTTGTACTCTGGAGACGTCGCTGAACACAAATATTTGTGTTTCAAAACAGTAAAAAGTATCACAGCAATAATATCGTCTGTGTACGTGCTGTTTGTGCGTGAAAAATGCAAAAAAAGTCACTTTTACTGGCGATATCATCGTTGTAATACATTTTACTGTTTTGAAAAACTAATATTTGTGTTCAGCAAAGTCTCCCGAGTAGAACAGTACCCATATGTACAGGTTTTATGGTGTCTTGGAAAGTTATAGGGTTAAATATAGTGCTAGCAAATTAAATTCCCTTTACTTTCGGCATGGGTTGTCAGGCAGGTCCCGCTAATTGTAATTAATTTAGATACCTAATTATGTAAAAATATTACATAAATATATTTTTATTTATGTATAGGTGTGTGTATATATATAGTGATATATATGTATATAGATATATATATTATTTCGTTCTACGTGTATTTTGATATAAATATATATTAATATCACAATACAGTTAGAACAAAATAACATACATCTATATATTTTTTAATTATTTATTTGTAATTTTTTTTAACGTATTTACATTGTTTTTTATATTATATATAAATATATATAAAAATAATTTTATATATATATATATATATATTTAATCAGTATCAGTCTACATGTAATTTGATATTGATATATTAATAGTAAAATACACCTAGACAGTGTGTGTGTGTGTGTATGTGTATATATATATATATATAATTTTTTATTTTACACTTTATTAACTTTAATTTTATTTTAATTCAGCCAGCAGGGGGACTACCTGCTGGCAATGCAGCAGCCAGCTAACCCGGCCATGTGCATATAGACCAGTGATGGTGAACCTATGACATGCGTGCCACAGCTTGCATGCCGAGCCCTCTCTCTGGGCACGCGGCCATAGGTTATCGGTAGGGTGCCTTGGGCAGCACTGCCTTGTTAGCTTCGTGTCCTCGGGGCCCAAGAGCTGGCCGGCTGGGTGTCTGTGAATGTCAGTGTATATATGTGAGTGTATGTGTATCTGTGAGTGTCAGTGTGTATAAATGCCGCGTTGGCACTTTGAGGGGAAAAAGTTGGTTTGTATTCTGGTTTGGGCACTCTGACTCCAAAATGTTCAACATCACTGATATACACCATCTGTAAACTTTATATTGGAAACATATATGGAATAACTCTAGGGGTTGCACTGTATTGTTGTGAAAGCCCTGCCTTTAAAACGAAAGCATGTATAAATAGAAAATATTTTGTATTTAGTTCATAAAGTCAACATGTTTCTAACTGTACTTGTTACAAATCTTTGTCATGATATGTGTGTTTAGGACTTGCTGATGGACTGGAGAGAACATTGTGTGCCAAACATTTAATTCAGATAGAGCAGAACAGATTATAGAATTGCATATGGTGACAATTTTAGTTCTCTATAGCGAATAGATTGTGTGTGTATGTGTGTGTTTTGGGGTTGGTTTCTGTTTTATGGGAGGGGGTGGGGTTTTTAAAATTTCAATATCATATATCCATTCAAAATATTAAGTTGTTCTGATTAAAACTTATGTAACTAAAGTAACTCTATATTTTTCTTGGAATGCACACTTGTGCGTCGATTGATTTAGTTAGAAGTCTAGACCAAATTTGGCACAAGTTATGAAACTATTGCAACACCAATCAGTGCCTCACTACTGGGGTGACTTATCAGAATGTCGTGTCTGAGTAATGGTGCAAACTTCTAGAAGATGAGCAATCACCATGGTAACCAGTAGAACAAGCAGACACGTTCCAGTGATGATTACTCCACTTTTAGGACTTTGCACCACTTTTTAGAATAATATATTTTGATAAATCTGACTAAAATCAATCAAATCAATTTTGAAAAATTATGGAATCTGATGGCGCTATATAATAATAATAGAAATAATAAATCTTCCTCTGTTTTGTAATCATTTTTCCCTACATTTTTTCACCTACTCATTGCATTAAAGCAGTGATTTCTGAAAACGGGGTGTTTGCTGATATAGAAAAGGCCTTACAGAACCTTGCAAGACTATAGCGATATTCCATATGAAAGAGACACTCTAAGCACCATAACTGCCACAGCTCACTTTAGAGGTTATTGTGACAGTCCCAATGCTGTCTCTCCTTTTTGTGTGATTTCACTATCAAATACAAAAACAAATGATGTGTACTATGGTCGTTGCTGCCGCCCAGGAGTGATGGGAGTTTGAGCGCAGGACTTGTTTTTTTGTATCACACAGCCATGTTACAATGCTGCCACCCATCCCATGTGTTCCTTACTAGGGGTTAATAAGCATGTAGGGGTGTATATAAAAAAAAAAAAATAAAAAAATTCCCCTTTCTGTCTCATTGGAGAGATCTTTGCCAGTAGCTCTAGGAAGCAAGGTGAAAGGTGTCCTACCCATTGACGTGGCAGGTGAGCTAAAATCTCTCATGGTCATTGGAGGAACTAAATAACCTCCATTTGTTTAAATATGCATAGGGATTTGGGAAGAGCGCATGTAACTTTTTTCTTTGGTTTTTACTCTCAGCCAATGAGTGCTGTCCAACTTTGGACAAAATTAACATTGCTGGTTGTGTGTGGCGCAGGGAGACTTTGGTTCCCATTCTCCCCAGTGTGTGTAACAATACAGTGCTCTGCCCACATCTAAAGCTTCTTTACGGCTTCTAGTATTGTACAGTAGATAGTGTCAGCTAAACACTCTTGCCAATCAGCAATGTCCTTGCCTGTCAGCACTCCGTGGTTCCAGTCAATCTCCGTTTAGAAGTCAGATGAATAAGGATCAGCACTGGAGGCAGCCTTTGGGGCCAAAACGTTCTTGAACAGTTTAACTCCTTGATGTAAGATAGCAACTGGGTGCTTCCTGGTACCATAACAACTTAATTTACATGAGGTTATTACGGTGATCAGAGTTTTCCTTTAAATATAAGCCAACTTTATTTGACTGGTTTCTTCTCTCACTAATACAGCAGTCACCATGCAGCCTGTCTCAGAAATAGTTACAAAACAAAGAGTCAAACCAATAGATACAATCAAAACTCTGTTGACAATTATGTGGTACTCTAAGCACACTATTTTTACACTGTTTCAAAAAGCAGGAAAGTGTATCTACCTTCTTATGTTCTCAGATTACTAACAGGGCTCGACAACTCCCAGTTCCCCATGGCGTATAGAAATTTAGTCCTGGTGTCTAGGATTTGTGAGCCTGTTCCCTCCAAGGCAGGCAGCCGGCTGCGCTTTCTGTAGGCAGATGGTGAGGGAGTTGTGATCTCCATGCTTTGCTCTTTCACACGCCCCTTAGTGATGCTGGAGCCGGAATATGTCACTCCAACCCTGGCAGTGCGCGAGGGAGTAGACCAAGAGGATCACAGCTCCCTCGTTGCCTACCTACAGAATGTGCTGCTGGTCGCCCGCTTCGGAGGGAACGGGCTTACACATTCTTGTAAGTTTAAAAAACCGAGCTCCTAACTTTTGTAGCTGGCTTCTAGATTCAAAGCAAATTTGTAAAGCCATGTCTTATAATTACATGTGAGTGGGGTCTTTTATATTTCTTCTTTTATTGCCCTTTCTGCAAGGTTGATATTTACCCCTTCCGGGATAATTTTTCTAAAACGTTTGCAAGATAAGGTATATATCTAAACAAATGGGGGGTATAAATTAAACCAAACAAATACGTAAAAAAGTACATAATTAAATTCTGTGACATCTCTAAATATTCGTCAATACACAGAATTGCTGTGTAATTTTTAATGAAATGTGTGGAATGTGTTAATGTGTCTGAAGTTCTCTTATTGTGTTTTAAATTCCAGCCTATTCTTATCGGCTCTGTACCTGTGGGATCTGGACTCAGCTGGCACAGATCACTTCCTCTCTGCGTTGTGGGTGGTAATCACAAACTTTATTTCTGGTTTACAGAAATGTAAATATTTGTGTTGCATTTTTATAAAATAAAGATTATTATGGAAATTGATGTGCTGTTTGGTTTATTTCTAATGTATAGCATTAAAGGGACACTATAGGTACCCAGACCACTTCATCTCATTGCACTTAGTTCTGCATTGTAAAACACTGCAGTTCCAGAGAAACTGTAATGTTTACATTGCATAAGTAAGTCTGCCTCCAGTGGTTGTCTACCAGACAGCCACTAGATGCGCTTCATGGATGTTAACAGACTTTTGGTCCAGTAACTGACGCTGGACATCCTTACGCACTGCTGAGGACATCCAGCATCAGCTATTTCTCCCTAGAAACGCCTAACGCGCATTTATTTTAATTTTTTTTATAACTATTCAACGCGGAAGGGGGATGGGTGGAGGCAGAGGGAACTATAGTGCCAGTTTTGTATTCCTGGCACTATAGTATCCCTTTAAAATTGAGCTTTGGGAATGTATGCATAATTAACCTTATACACAAAAGTTTGAAATAGTAAAGACATTCTTTAACTTCATCTCATCCATTTTAATTCTAGATTTTTTAAATAGAGAGAGAGAGAGAGAGAACACACTTCATTGCTTTGTACAATAACCTGTTATATTTTGTAATCCAAGACGATACTTTCTATGGTTAATGGAAACTAAGCAAATCATTAACTGCATTTATGGTACCAACAGATTTCCTTAAAGTGGTACTCAAAACTTTAATTTACCCATTTTTATTTTTATTTTTGCAGTGCAAAGAAATAACACAACATTTTTTTTGGTTAATTATAGAGATGATGAGTGTAGATCAGCATATGAGACTTAGACATGCAATCAATAAACAGGCTTTACAATGCTGTGGCTAACATGTTATCAGGTTAGAGATGCTTAAATGATTATCATAGAATGTTGTAAATTGAGAGCGTGACAAGTTGCTTAAGTTACAGGATTTACAGGAGCTTTCCCCCCTATGTGCAGCCCAAGCCCCAAGAGTATTCCCATACAGTCCAGGCTTACCCAGACCCCTATTTGCATGGCCTTTAGCATGGTAGTGGTGAGTTCAGCATGGTTGTCAATAGGGGGTATGAATACTCTCCCCGTGTATGGTCTCTCTTCTGCTCGATCTTCCTGTGAAGTTTGCCGGAGTGCATGGGTGTCACGCTGGTCAGCAGGTTACATGGCTTGGCTTGGTGAGGGACCGGATAACTGTGTCAGTCTGCTCATTGCCGCTGGGACTGGGGGTCCCTCTTGCTGGAAGGTTGGGCAGTGGTTTGGTTGCTGTGTGGGGTTTGCTGCATCGGGGGTTCTGTTCCACTGTGCGTTGGTGGTCCCTGGCTGTGCCTCCACTTCAGGTCTGCCTCCCTCGCCTGCCATTTTAGTAGCTGGGGCCCCACCAGACCCAGGCGCTGTAGGTCGCGGGGGTGGTCTCTTGGGACCGGGATGACCCCTGCCGGTCCAAAGGGGAGGGGTAACGGGGCCCTTACCACGTGGCGTTGGAGCTCCGGAGGGAAACCACAGGGCAGGATAGCAAGGCGGCGGCCATCCACCCTACCCACCGCCCGGGTAGGCCTCAGGTGCTACTTAGCCCTTTCCGGGTTTGTTACGCTCGTTTTCATAGAGGCCTCAGCACTGGCACCCCTTCGCCCGCAGGACTGTTGCTTCCAGACTGCGGATGGGTGAGTTTGAGTCTTTTCATAGCCATTAACATCGGTGGTCCGCAGGAACTCGCCTTGGATGCGACCCCTCGGCATGGCGGTCCAGCCCTGCCCCCTTAATTTACCCATTTTAATGCATAGTATATACATTCTCTGCTTGTCTTTTGCCTACTCCAGGAAATAGCTTTTCCTCATGTATGAAATCTGACCTGTTCTTGAACTGGACATTTTCAATTAGGTACCAAAAGAGTTAAAGTTTTGGGGGTATGATCTGATTTGCAGATATCAAAGTTCTCTGTGCAGTTCTGCTCAAAGCCATAGTTTCTGAGAACTGTAATATTGTTGTCACTCTCGCTAGAATGTAAGCTTTTTTGAGCAAGGTCCTCCACATCCTGTGTCCAATTTGTCTTGTTATAAACACCGGTCTGCCGGTCCACCTATTTTACAGCGCTGCGGAATTTATTTGCGCTTTATAAATAATAATAAAGCCTTGCATTGCTTCTTGACCTGTACAACTGCAGGTTAGGATGGACAGAAAGGGAGCTACACTCAGGTAGACTAAAATTAAATCTTTTAGTATGAGGGATTGTGACGGGGCAGTTAAATTGCAAAACACAATTTCGCTTTTGTACATTATATATATATTTTTTTTTCTTATTGCCATCTAACCTATGTGAATGAACATATATTTGAATTCTGTAAATGTACGTATAATATAGTCTGGGAACAGCAGTGGAAATTGGTTTCAAAAATGCAAACTACTTTTCCTGCAATTTGGTTAAAGATCACAGCATTTAGAATTAAATGAAAACACGTTGATGGTTTATTATCTTTCAAGAGTTTGCAAGTTTATTGGGCATTTAACTAAAAATATTTTATTGAATATGGCTGAACAGAATGTGCCATGTGCTTTCAATTACGTAAACTAACATTTTGTTAACTGAAAGAAATGTCCCATGTCATTTTGAATTGGTTTTGTAAAATTAAGTTGACTAAAAACATAGTGTTATTTTCAATATATTAATTGTGATACATCCGTGACCTCAACATTTGTGCCTCTAACTGTACAGATGTAAATGTGTCCAAAAATTTATTTTTCCTATTCCGCTATAAGAGTGTGTTGGTGACCTGTTTATTCGAAACCTACCACTATATTGCAAAGCACTGCATTGGGAGGGAAAATAGCTACTGGTTTTATATTTCTTTATCTCCTCATACAGTTATTTTAGTGTACATATAGTTTAATTTCCTCCGATTTTGGACGCAGCATATTAAAAGGAAAAATGTGTTTTTGCATAAGGATTGCATTTATATAATTTGATACATTTGTAGATTGCATTGTAGCAAATGCTGGCTTGGGTCTTAGATTTATTTCTATCTACGCACGCAAATCAGCATTAAAATAAAAAAACTTGGCTCTCAGCCTAAAGTTAGTTATATTTCAAAAGTTCATCACAATGCTTCATTTTTCAACACGGTGGAAAAATTATGTGCTCTTCTGTGCCTGACCCGCTGGTGTCTGCCAAACCAAGAGTAGGTTAATATGTTCCTCTGAAAATAAGATTACATAATGCGTGTAAAAGAGCAGTTCTATATCCCTAAGAACATGCAGAATAACAAGGTCCTTGTAGTTTGCTGCTATTTGGCCACAAAATCTAACCAGTTTTTCAGTTGTTTAGCCCACACTGGGAAAAACTTATTTAGTGTCCCTGCCTCTGTTTGTTGTCACGGGCTGTGGCTTTTGGCATACAAACAGCTCCCTCCAAACAGACAACTCAGAGGACAGAGCCAGGAACTTACCAAAACTACTGACCTGCTCGTCGCGCCACGGTCGCAGTCCCACGGCGTCATCACGGGTCAGGTCTATCGGTTCGTACGCTGGTTCACTATCTCTCGGTTAGTCCACACGAAAGCCTATGACCGATAGTGCTTACGTGCACAGGTTCACATGAAAGTTACGATTGGCAGTTTAATCAGTCTACAGTACTGACACCTATCAGTCTTTCTCATACTAGGCACAATTTGTTAAACTATATATTAATCAGTGTTCTACCTGGTTAGATGGCTTTTAATTTGTTGTATTGCATTTAGATAATTATTGATCTCCCCATGTTTTACATGTTTAATAAGGTTTTCTGCATTCTCAGTTATAATACTCCTCTATTTTCACACAATGGTGTTATTGTGTTTATGTACAAGATGGTAAGGGACATAGGGTTTTTATATACTTTCTTCCTGTTTTCCAGCTTGGCATCTAGCAGAGCCTCACCAGTCACCAATCTAGTATAATTGTTTCACCACTTGGCATTAGCTAGCAAGCCCGTACAACTATAAGATATACATGTAAGAATGGTAATCTTTGTTATTTCGCATGTCTCAAGAAGGTGGTGAAGAGTTATCTCTGCCCAGCACTCCGGCTAGATCCGGTACGCCTTCACATAGAGGAGACATGGCTAGCCCATCATCTATCAGACCCTGGACTATCCCACGCATTACTACCGAAATCAGGAAACAGATTCCGTACCCATCTACCGCTAGGAAAGCAGAACTTTTCAGATTACTATGTACATCTACAGATAATGTGGATTCAGGGGAAGGCCCAAGCGGTTCTAATTCAGCGGATATTCACTCCATGTTGTTATCACTCATGGCCTCCATGGGGAAAATTAATGACATATTGGAGAAACTAGAATCAGTCACTCTGACAACATCCGGACCTTCCACTACAGTTCAACCAGTAACTACCGAAACTCATCTAGGTATTTCAGTGAACACTTAAGACTTACAAGACGTTAATCCTGCTCATATGATCCCAGCTCACCTTTAAAAAGATATCCTGGAAGGTAAAGATGTTAACCTGGCATCACTCCTAATTACCTACTAGGATATCGTAGAAAAAAACACTTACGCATATGGGGATTTATCAGTTGTGATTAAAGCTAGGGACCCAGATTAAACCGGAAACTGTCCATCCCTGGATTTGTCTTGTCCTTTGGCATATATAGGGATGTGGTATGCTCTGTCTACCCAAATAGAAGAGTTTGATTTGTACATGCACAAGCTGGTAGATTTAGGCAATAAATATGGGGGTACGGCAGGGGTCAAGTCCTGGGGAAAAAAGTGTGGGAACTCTCCCAAAAAAAAACCAAAACACTTGTATGTATATAAATGTATGTATGTATGTGTGTGTATGTATATATATATATATGTGTATATATATATATATATATATATATATATATATATACACGCGTGCACACACACATACACTCACACAGTGGTGTATTTTAATTTTATGCTGCCCTAGACATGACTATAGAGCACCCCCCTAATCTAAATTTACCACTCCTTCATGTCAAGGGCGCACCGCTTCTTGATTAAGAACCCACCCCTTCCTCTTTAGACTCCACCTTTTCATGCTCCTTTTAAAGAAATACTATAGTGCCAGGAAAACAAAGTTGTTTTCCTGGCACTATAATTCCGTATAGTGCCCCCCTCCTCTCATGTCCTCCCCTTCCCCACTCGACACTGGAGGGGTTAAAATCCTATGGGTATTTAGCAGATGCTGGATGTCCTCATGCACAGGGTGAGGATGTCCAGCATCAGTTAGGTGACTTTTGGTCACCTAACCACCCGAAAGTCCCTCTAGTGGCTGTCTGATAGACAGCCACTAGACTTGGAGTTACCCCTCAGGTAATTATTGCAGTTTCTGAGAAGGTTTAAGGGGACTGGGACACTGCACCCAGACCACTTCAAGGAGCTGAAGTAGTCTGGGTGCCTATAGTGTCCCTTTAAGCACACTCTCTGACAGACACCCACACTGGCAGATACACACTGACAGTAACACACACATTCAATGACAAACACACAGACTTCACTGATTTGACACACACATTCACTGACACACACTCATTCATTGACAGAGAGACACACACTAATAGTCACACACACTAAATGACAGACTCTCACTTATTTGACAGAAACTTACAATAACGTATGCACATACATGCAATTGCAAACATACACATGCATACACTAACAGAAGCACATACACACGTACAAACGCTAACAGACATAAATACACTCCTACACACACTGAGACAGACATCCACACAGACAGACGTCCACACATCCAGACGTCCACACATCCAGACGTCCACACATCCACAGACGTCCACACATCCACAGACGTCCACACATCCACAGACGTCCACACATCCACAGACGTCCACACACCCACAGACGTCCACACATCCACAGACGTCCACACATCCACAAACAGACGTCCACACATCCACAGACATCCACACATCCACAGACATCCACACATCCACAGACATCCACACATCCACAGACATCCACACATCCACAGACATCCACACATCCACAGACATCCACAAACAGACATCCACACATACACAGACATCCACACATACACAGACATCCACAAACAGACATCCACACATACACAGACATCCACACATACACAGACATCCACACATACACAGACATCCACACATACACAGACATCCACACATACACAGACATACACAGACATCCACACATCCACACATCCACAAACAGACATCCACAAACAGACATCCACACATCCACAAACAGACATCCACAAACAGACATCCACAAACAGACATCCAGACATCCACAGACAGACATCCACAGACAGACATCCAAAAACAGACATCCACAAACAGACATCCACAAACAGACATCCACACATCCACAGACATCCACAGATATCCACAAACCCACAAACAGACATCCACACATCCACAAACAGACATCCACAAACAGACATCCACACATCCACAAACAGACATCCACAAACAGACATCCACACATCCACAGACATCCACATCCACACATCCACAAACCCACAAACAGACATCCACACATCCACAAACCCACAAACAGACATCCACAAACAGACATCCACAAACAGACATCCACACATCCACAGACATCCACACATCCACAAACCCACAGACATCCACACATCCACAAACAGACATCCACAAACAGACATCCACACATCCACAAACAGACATCCACAGACATCCACAAACAGACATCCACTAACAGACATCCACAAACAGACATCCACACATCCACAAACAGACATCCACAAACTGACATCCACAAACACACATCCACAAACAGACATCCACATATCCACAAACAGACATCCACATCCACACATCCACAAACAGACATCCACAAACAGACATCCACAAACAGACATCCACATATCCACAAACAGACATCCACATCCACACATCCACAAACAGACATCCACACATCCACAAACAGACATCCACATCCACACATCCACAAACAGACATCCACACATCCACAAACAGACATCCCCACAAACAGACATCCCCACAAACAGACATCCACACAAACAGACATCCACACAGACATCCACAAACAGACATCCACAAACAGACATCCACACATCCACACAGACATCCACACATCCACAAACAGACATCCACAAACAGACATCCACACATCCACAAACAGACATCCATATATACAAATTAATAATATTATTAACTAATTAACATATCCCACCCACCCAGCATCCCTACCTTTCCCTGGGGTCCAGTGGGGCTGCAGTGAGGACGGCTCTCTCCCTGTCACACGCGGAGAGGGAGCTGTGTGCTCTCTGCTCCCTCTCGCCGCGCGGGATGTCTGCTGATGCTGGGAGCCGGAATATGACGTCATCAACCCGGCTCCCAGCAACAGCAGACATCCCGCGCGGCGAGAGGGAGCAGAGAGCACACAGCTCCCTCTCCGCGTGTGACAGGGAGAGAGCCGTTCGCCGGGGGGCAATCCATCAGGTTGCCCCCCCCCCCATGACAGGGGAAACAAGGGGGGGCATTTGGGGGCGGCATTTTTTGCCGCCCCCTGAGTGCCTGCAGGGGGAACGGCGTTCCTGCTGTGAAAAAAGTGCAGGAACGGCGTTCCTGCAGGACTCGAGCCCTGGGGTACGGCTTTCTATGGTTATCATAGGTAATTTTCAGCAAAAGTGTTGCAGCTCTCACTCAATTCGGAAGTAGAACAAACTGGAGTAAATTAGACATGGAAATTTTCTGCAGACACTTTGCCGGTCTAACGACACCAGCTTGTGCATCCTGCTCATCTACCGCCCATACAACTAACATTTGTCCCAACTTGAGGATTCTCCCAATGTTCCTGTTCCTTGCACCTCTGGGAGAACAGAGAAAACTGTAAAGGACAAATTAGGTTGCCTCATTGTCTTCCTAGGGAAATCTTAAATATGCTATAATTTAAATGCCGGTACGTGTGGCTTCAGTGCTTGCAGGCTGTTGCATATCTGTTAAAAATGCTTCCGGGCACAAGCAAGAACCATGTGCCCCAATAAACTGTACCCTAAACCTTATTTAACTTCTGTCAATGTTACTACATTATCAGCTTTACTGTCTGCACAACGTTATCTGGATTTTTCCTATTGCAGGACTCTGTAGCTGAATTATACACTTTGGATACTTTTGTGCTAGACTTTCTCATTTGCTTGCATATATATGCACCTTTTTATTTTCAAGGGGACTATCTGCTTAGCGCTGAAATTTTTATTTACATACACTCTGCATACACTCCACACTAACACACTCACTGCATCCACTATACTGACACACACTCCACACTAACACACTCTCTGCATTCGCTACACAGTAACACACACTCTGCATTAACTGTACACACAGCATCCACTACACAAACAGCCAGAACTTGTGCTTTGTCAGGGGCCCCACAATTTCTGATGGCGGCCCTGGTGCATGGTGCAAAAAGATTACCTATTGACAACAACCTCTATCCAATCTCTATCTGACCTTTTGCATTCGGGCCCTTTCGATCCCCGTACCAATTAAGTCATTAAGACTGCCATGTGCATAGCTTTCTATGGCTTCTTTATGCCACGGGAATTTACCACCACAACTAACACACAGTATTGCCTTAGACGATATTACATACGTTCCTTACCCCGTACTAAAAAAAGTCAACATAACCTACCAGTAAAAATTACATACTACCCTATGCACAACAAATGGTGCCATGTTGCAGTATTAGACTCCTATCTTCATACCCCCAGCAATCACCCCTCGCAACCTCTGTTCTCACTACACGGATCAGTCCTTACGACCTCACGCCTTCAAGTGTCAACATACCAGTACACATTATTAAGACCCTAGGGTGTTGGAAATCTTCTGCATATACTCGGTACATTCCAAAACCTGTCCAAGAAATACGCAAGGCCTTTAAAGAAATGTCTGGTTAAGATGTATGTATATTGTTGACTGTATTAAAATTGTCCGAATCTATTTTTCCCCACTTTAATTTACAGGTCTACCGCATTGTCGGTTCCAGCACACCACTACAGACTTGCTCTCTTATACTAATCTACTCCTATACTTATCTCTTACTCCAAATACGGTTTTTGGCCCTAACACAAGTGTTCAGGCTGGTTGGCCTATAATTGTGGGAGAGGCTATGTGTGCTTCCCTACTTAAAGGAAACCCTTACCTTACTCCACACCGTCCGAGGTCTAGCGATTTGCGTGGCCCTCTCTCCACTCCCACTACACAACCTTTCCACCTTTTTCCTCTCTTTACCCTTGGGTGGACCCTCTTTTATTGACAGGCTCATCGCCTCGTCGGTTCCGGCACACCACAACCAACTTGCTCTCTTCTACTATTCTACTCCTATACTTATCTTACTCCATATATATGGCTTTTGCCCCTAACACAAATAAAAATATATATATATATATATATATATATATTTTTTTTTTTTTTTTTTTTAATTTACATTCATTAAAGTGCTTTAACATTTCTAGGCTACTTTTGTTTTTTGTTTTTGGGGAGCTGCAACCGCATGTAGGTCTGGTCTTTTCTTCCACTTTTTTTCAATCTTGCCTACTCCAGTACTTGGGTATTTATATGTATCATCAGTGTTTTTCCCCATTTCAGTTTGTGACAAATAGGGGAGATTTAGGTAATTTCTGTCCAAATTTGTGAAAGGGACACTATAGGCACCCAGACCACTTCATCCCAGTGTGTGTCCTCCTTTGTCCTAGGTAATATATCAAAGGATTAGACCACTGGAACAAAACACATAATTTTGCTGCTCCACCACAGTAAGGAAAATGTAAAAAGTAACTATCTGTAGGACATATGGATAGCTCAAGTGATAGGCTTATATGCAGGCAAGAGTCAATTATCTCTCAGAAACAGAGACTCCTGGGAAGAAACCCGTGCAATGTTGCCATGTAGACCCCTTGCTAGGGGTCCGTGCATAAAAGCCGTGTGTGGCCAAATAAAGCTCAGTTGATTCCCAGAACTATGTGTCGTCTAGTACCTTGTCGTGGTATTGGAGCCCCGCTACGATTACAATCCCCAGTCTGCATTTTTTCACTGGTCGCTCTCCACCCTCCTGACCCACTATTACTCCTAGTCCCTCTCTTCACACTCAACCTCTCACTCAAATCGATTGTGAACAGAGCTGCTATGTCTTTAACAATGCTTGATGGCCTGAGTGGGGAGATTCACAAAGTTCAATGTATTTAGGTCCTAATGGGAATACATTAAGGTTTTAAGATACATGTTCTCATAGGCTTTAAACCACAACAGGTAGCAGTCTTATGCATTCGGATTTAAATCAATTGCAATTTGTCTGAAAATAGTCAGGTTTTCTGAATTCCGTAACTCCAAAGTATCATATGGCTGTATCACGAGTCAACCGAAATGTAAAGTGGACAAACATTTTCATTTTTTCCATCCGGGTGCTAAAAATGGGACAGCCACTAAATGTTGACTTTATTAACAGATGAGAAGTGACCAGTAGAGGGTACAAAATAAGGGGTAGTAAAATAAATCTATATTTATATACTATACATTTAATATCTACTATATTAATTTAGATTTTTGTTTTTGTTTTGTTTTACTGTTCCTTCATTTGCCCTCTATTGGCTAATTCTAATATTTATAGTATGTACTGCCAATAAATATTTGGCAGTACATTCATTGGATCATTTTTGCACCCTTTTGGTTTATGCAAACCTTTTTTCCAATTAATCTAATTTGACCTTAAATTTGAAATTCACTTTGATTTCTCTCGTTCATGAATAACCCTGTTAGTCTCTTTCATTTGTTTATTTTGTACATTTACTACCTGCAGAGGGCAGCATGGTATCAAAATGTGATCTTGGTATGTTTCAGGTATAATTTCAAAATTATTGTAAAGGGACACTCTGTATTGGAGATCATCACCACTTTCTTAACACAATAAAGGAGTAATTGGAATAAAATAATTAAAAAGTATTCCTGATAAAACATTGAGATTTCTCTTCCCACTCACTAAACCCCATAACCATTAGAGCAGGGGTGCCCAAATGGTAGATCCCCAGATGTTTTAAAACTATAGATTTCATGATTATTTTTCTTTCTAAAGGCATGCAAAGCACCATGGGAGGTGTAGTTCTACAATATCAGTGAATCTACCTTTT